TATATGCGACAGTGTACTGCTAGTGTACATGTTTTAACGTGTACAGGTAACTAGGCCCTCGTAGCCGCCATAGCTCAGTTGGTTAGAGCGTGGGTCTAATAAGCCCAAGGTCGCAGGTTCGACCCCTGCTGGCGGCAAACATTTTTGCTTTTCCTGATTACCCCAAATAAACTTACAACGGTTGAAATATCATAAAACGCTCTTTGATATTATTACAATAACTACGAAAACGTTTACTTACTTGTTCTTGCCCTTGGAACCCATATTCCACATTTTTTCGGTGACGTAGGAATCGAAAAAACGAAAAATATTGATATCGGTTGATCAGTGATCAGCTTGTTGGATGCGATATCCTAGGTAAAAGTTGCTTTTTTGTCCGATGCTACTATAACTGAAAACAGAAAAACTTGAAACAATATGGAAACGGAGAAAATGAATGAAAGAGGATGTTGGAGCTGAACTAAGAAATTATTTGAAGCATAAAATCGTTAAGCAAGGGTCAGTCATGGCAGAGTGGCTATTCGTATTGCGCCAAAGACAAGAGATTGAATGAAAAAAGCGCATCCCGAGGGAATGAGTAGAGACGTTAATTCTGGAGGAAAATATGTTAGCAACACGTTCACAGCTTGAAAAATGGCTATATTATCTAGAACTAACAATCTATGAGTAACAGTGTAAAAAAGAGCTCGGAGGAAAAGAATAAAGGCATGTAAACGTAATCCGGCATTAGTTACATCAACTAAGTGTCATAGAGTACTTTGATCTAGCTCATTACTCAGTGACGTAAAGTTGATTCTGTAAATAACGCGGCTCAAAATTTCATCCAATAACATGATGTCCGGACGCGAAATGGCTTTTGGAGTGATTTATGATGAGCGCAGGACAAATAGTTCCTATAATGTTTGAAAACGTTTGAAACTCTCGAACGAACCTTGACGAATAACAGAAGCGTTTCGAGAGTAGCTCGGAGGATTGTATAATTTCGAGCTGTCACCGCTACTACAACAAATGATCTAGGAAAGTTCGAAAGAAAAACAAGGATCTCCCCATAACACGTCAATCAAGCTGCTCCTCTCAGTCTATTGGAGTGAAGCTGAATGCTCGAAACATTTAAGAGACACAAAAATAGTTTCAGAAATCAGAGTATGCCCGAATGCGAGAACAAAAATCTCCTACTTCACTGTTTACTCGTGGATGGCTTTTGAAAAATATTCCTTATCTGCCAAGCAAGAATCAGTTCTCCAAGTTAAAAATAGTTGCAAACGGCAGGAAGTCAACAAAGCGCCATTTATTAATTTGAAAAAGATAAGGAAATTCAACGAGAAATATATGCGGACATTAATTCTTCGCCCTCATGAATGTCACGGATGGCTACTAATAAAACTATTCGTAAAGCTGTATGCTTGGGGGATGCATTATACACAGAATACGGAAACCATTTACGATAAACATAGGACCAGCCTCTAATATCTAAATCTACGTATTGCACATTATGAAGATGGACTTGTGGAGCATTATTCACATATTGTCCGATTGTCAGGTAATTCAAAGGTCTATCTAATAGCCAAGTTTGGTCTGATATGGCAGGGGAGAGATCGCGGAGGTTAGCAGAACGATGAACCATTTTAGAAAGACGTCGATCATTTCCATCCACAGTCATGCCATCCATACAACGAAGAATAAAATGGTTACCAAGAGATTGGAGCAGAATAGAATCACCCGGCTCGTATATCGTCCCGGGGTAGAATGCAGCTACTTGACCTTTCGCGATTTTGCCTGAAAAATAAAAAAAGAGATGCAAAAGATAAGTTTTCAAGTTGCCTGCATGCACGAAGACTCCTTTCCCTCCGTCACAAACAGAGCTGCTCTGCCTACATAGAGAAAACCCGAGGTTATTGAACAAAGTACTATGAGCTTTATCAATGTCTCCATCTGTTATTATGCCAGCAAAGTTAATAGAAGGAAGTGTTTCCTGAAGAGAGCCTACGACAACCCTCACTTGATTTTCTAAGAAAAGAAGTTCAAACAGATCGGATAATCTCATCCAACCTAACTCAGATTTGCTAATATCAACAGTTTTTGGTATTTCTCTCAGATTAGTATTGGAGATCCTGGCCATGAGTAAAGGACTGAACCGATACCGGAAGTCCTTCAGCCATTTTACCATCAATTCTTCAGTGGCATATGAGTAACGTTAGAACGAGAATGAAAACATATTTCATCCAAACAAGGATTCGTGCTATAGAATAGAGAAAGTCAAAAAAAAATTTATTTAGCTTGATCAATAAACGAGGAGAGGAATTGTGATCTAGATATCCTTGATATCACCAACAACAGCAATAGCTTCGATTTCCACTAAGGCGTGCTTGGGGAGAACAGCCACCTTTAAAGAAAAAATAGCAATAGATAAGGGAAGGAACAAACCTGATAAGCAGCTCTGGCTGGGAAGTTCTCAGTAAAGTATTCTTTGTAAATTTCGTTGACAGTGGCAAAATCGTTGATGTCAGCGAGAAGAACAGTGGTCTTTACAACTTAATTATCGAATCAAGGAAAAAAGAAGAATTCAAAAACACACCATTTTTGTAAGAAACACCAGCAGCAGTAAGAACTTCACCAATATTCTTGAGTGATTGATGGGCTTGTTCCTTGACTCCTTCTTTCAACTCCATGCTCTTGGGGTCGAGACCCAAAGATCCACTCAAGTAGATGGTATCATTTACTCGTACAGCCTGGCTGGAATAACAGCGCACTTAGACAAGACAAAGATCTAAACCAAACCTATAGGGTCCAATAGCAGCAGGAGCGTTGGCAGAATGGATAATCTGTCTGGTGATAGAGGCCATAGCGTCAACACTTCGTTTCCTAAGAATGGAATGAATATCAAAAGAAATAAAATAGTTTTACGGCATTGTAACACATACACACACACACATAGACAGAAACTCATATACTAGAAAGGACGTAGGAAATTTCTGTTCGTGACATTGAGACAATTCGCGGTGATAAGATTCGTGAAATCAATGCCAATGTTGTGCCCTGTGTTTAAACAAGTGAAGCCTTGCGAGAAGCGATTCGTTCGAAGACTCTACATTCATACGAGCAATTACTTCTCATGCGGGCAGTCAGCCACTTCTTCGTCAGAACGACGCTTCATTACTGGAGGCAAGAGAGGCATGTTTCAAATCTGAACACATTTGTTAAACACACGAACTTACATCTTCAAAAACTAAGAAATACTCGAAAACAGCTCTGAAAGCAAGTGGATTAGCAACTGCGCGAGTGCTTACTGTGTATGAGTGATAACATAAGAAAGAATAGATGTCTTGGTGGTCGAGAAAATATATTGTGCAGAAAAGGATTGAGTTATTAAAAAAACTCGGTTTGGAACTCACGAAAGAGGAAGAACAACAACATGCTCTAGCAACAACGAACATTTGGGATTAGTTCTTTCGGAATGAAAATGTAACTCGAAAACTCTCAAGATGTAAGAAACAGAACCAAAAAGCAGAGCAGACTGATAAGCAGTTAGTAAAACTATTTTCAAGGCGAGTTTCATACAGAACACGCAAACGAAACGAAACAAAGGTTAGTTGAACTGCAACAAGATGCTTAGCGCTAGTGAGCAAAAAGCAATTTCTTCAACGGTACAAAGGTGATCATGAAAGAATTGTAACGACGACTAACCACATTAAAATGTGAAGATCATGACACTTCGCTCTGTGAATAGACTCTCCGCCCATCATTGATATCGGGGTATAACAATTTGACAAGACATAAACAAATTCATTAGAGAGAAACATTTAATAACAATTTATTGAATCGAATAACAACGCTTAGATTTGAACTTGTTGAGGTGGTAATACGGTAACGATGTCCTTCTTCTCTTGCATATGCTCGGATCTTGGCTCAGATGGGTTAACTTCTGGGAGTGGCTCAAGAATCTGGACGTGATCAGGAAGAGCAAGCTTAGGTCCCATTTGTCCGCGAGGATCGTGGGGAAGCATGATCTTAACCTTGATACCGATAACTCCTACAAATAACAGAATAATGAAAGCACAATGAAACTTAACATACCTTGACGGAGTTGAACGTGTCTGACGGCTTGTTGGATGTAGTCGTTGACTGGGTTACCAGAGTGAATCATAAGTCCATCAACGAATTTCATAGCCTTAGCACGTTGACCACGGAGCTTTCCGGAGACGATAACCTTTAAAGAGCAACATAAATTGAAAAATTGATATTCAAAGACTTACTTCGCAACCTTGAGCTTCGGACTCCATAATGAAACGAAGAACTCCGTAGCAAGCACGACGGACGGCAAGACCTCCGACAAGTTTGTAACGGAGAGATTCGCATTGAGCAACAGCGCAGAGACCGCGGTTGGAAACCTTTTCGGCGTAAAGCTGAAGAAAGTAATTATTAATTAGGAGCTAGGATATCATTCGGCTTACCTCGACGCTTCCTTCCTCGAATCCGAAACGCTTTTGGACAACGGAGGTAAGCTCCTTAATACGGCGTCCACGCTCTCCGAGAACGGATTGGGTGCGAGTAGCCATGATGATGACTTCAGCGCGAGCTGGGGTACGGCGGACCTAACACACATATATGATTAAAGTTTACAAGTTTAAAAAAATTACTTCGACTCCGGAGTAACCATCTTCAGCGAGCTCCTTCATGAGGAAGTTGTTAAGCTCAGCCTTGAAGACTCCATCAAGTACGGCCTTCTTCTTCTTTGTGATTTGCGTGGCAGTTGCCATGTTGCCCAAGACACTATAAAATTGTGAACTTTAGAATGATATGCGAAACGTTTCATTTAGAAGAGGAAATTTAGGGTAAACAATTATAAAATGCACGGTATACACTGTTTCCGGACACTAAAAAAAAAAGAAAAACCCCCAATCATATAGAAAAATCCAAAAAAGTTAGTTTCCAGAAGAAGATTACGGATTTATCTTTCAAAAATTACATGTATAATAGAAAAAGTTATAAAATTTTGTAGGCTAACCGAGCCGAATGTGAAAATAGTAGTTAAAGGACTGCCAGTCGTGGCCTCGACGCGTATAATACTCAGCCGACCGATATATTAAGATTCATAGCGTGGTAGGACCAATTTACTCATGAAGCTTGTTCCTGGTTTATGCTTGGTACTTAATTAAACGAAGACCTGAAATCAGGCTTATCGTTGAAGTAATCGGGTTTAAATAATCAAATTTGCGCAACAAATCTATTCAACGGATCGGTTAAGGTATGCGGTACTTATATAGTTTTTGTGATGTCGTTTTCAATCATTTTTTCAGACTTTGCTTTTTTAATTTTAAATTTCAAGCAGTTTGTTTTTCTCATTAACATAGTAAAGAAGCTCATTTTTTCCGATAGAATGTGTATGAATGAAAGATGAATGTGTGTTAGTGATTTCTCCATCAAAATAGCTTCCAACTTTTCCAATAACTTATGATTTGAAGTGGAGGACCGGCTTGCAGCGCATTCTTTTTGTATTTCTTGTTCTTCTTAAATTATTCAAATTTTCAAGAAAAACATTATTATTTCTTTATTTAGACTTGGGTCACGATATGGATGAAGGGAAAATAGTGTTAATAGGAAATGAATCAGATGTACTGCACTGTGGGTACTCCTACCCTATTATGGAAGGAGATAAACGGTTTGCCATTCCTCATACTATTGAACTGTTTACTGATTACATGTTATTCAGTTACCCCAGTGCTACTCATTATACTCACACTATGATTTTGTCACAACTCGGTTTAAAAGAAGAGATTGTTGCTGACCTTTTGAGTGAGAAAAGTGAGGATGTTCCTAGCAAGGTGAGGTGGCGTCCTTTTGTACATGCAATATCTGGTTATGATAGGCCCATCAACTTTTGCTGGATAATATGCCATTTGGGCACGACATGAATTCTTTGGCGAGTTATCTTGTAGGGAGTAGACAATCCTATATGTTAATAGCCATGAGAAGGCGTATGGAACAAGATCCAGGTGAAAAACTAAATACAAACGGATGAATACGAAATAGATTCAGAATTTGAAAAAGCTTTAATTGACACGAGGGACGCCCTTCTCATTGTATGTGATAAAGGTGATAAAGAATTAGGAATAGGTACAGAAGATATTATCATGTGACCATTGTTTATTCGGTCTTGAAGGTTTTGACGAGTCTGGCTTTGTGGAATGGATGAAGCGCGAAAAAACAGATTACGCTGCTCTGTCCTTCTGGATGAGAAATGAAGCTGCTCGACCGGGAACATTAGGTGCTAATGTTTTAGGGTATGTCATAGCAAACAGTACATTGAAATGTTCATCGTTATATCTCAGATTTCTCCTAATGTATCTTCGAGGAGAAGCTATTGTAAAAAAGCGAAACAGTATGTTAATGAGACCAGCTGTTGAGTTGGACGGGATATCAATGGATAACGATGATAAACCATTAAGAATAACTGCATGTGATCTCGTAATATCGTTAGAGGTAAGGGTACAATGGTTTGACGCATCTAAAGGTACAATTCAAGGGAATTTTCCGTCCACTCAGTAACTACTATGCTCTTTCCTTTGAGATGAAAAATGAAGTATACAGATCAGTAGAACATTATGCGTATATAAAGGTAGCAGTCTCTCATCATGTAGCTGTATTAACCTTACTGCTTATAGCTATTCGATGCTTTGAAGCTCAGTGACAAATCACTTGAAAAGATTAGAACTACCGTAAATCCTGTAGATGTACCCGTAGTAGCCGAACGAGTATTCAGAAAATTAAACGTACTAGTGTTTCCCTATAACTTTCTTTATACGGATCTCTTTAGCTAACTCCAGAACAAATTGAAAGTAAGAGGAGCAAGATGGATCGTTGGCGTCAATCTGCCATGAAACATAAGGTATTTGTTTGTTGATAAACTCTCGTCTGATTTATGTTTTTTCTCAGATTACTCAGTACGATTATCTGCGCCAACTCCTTCTCAGTACTGGAGATGCCATCATAGTCGATTGCACATGTAAGTTCCTTTTGTGTTATCTTTCTCATACATTGCCTATAGATGGTGAGCCTATGTGGACATGTGCTGCACCTGAGGACAGAATTCAAAAATTGTTGACAAAGTCCAAAGTGAATCCCTCAAAGCTAGTCGATTGGATGAGAAATAAAGTATGGGATAGTTCCTAGAACCATTGAATAAGGGTTCTATTTAAGAGTAATAAGGATGCGAAAGCTGTCTACTTCATGTCAGGAAACAAAACGGGTCTCTTACTCATGGAGTTACGAGGGAAATTAGCTAGTAATACTATAGAAAGAATTCCTCTGGTGAGAACACTTTATTTGTTTCATAAACAACTCTTTACATCTGAAGGCTACTCCTATGCCTGCCAATTTTGCCCCTATGATCACTCAACATCTTGTTTGTTTCACTCCTGAATCTGTTTGGTCTCCATTATATCCTGCCGAAATTAAACCTGGCCCTGACCAGCCACCTTTGCCTTCTCCTGCTCATTACGTTGCCATGACTGCTGCCAAGTAAGTGAATCTGATAAGTTTGTAATTTAAAACATTTTTTTCAGGTATCTTGGGTTCAATCAATCTGATACAGACTATGTAATGGAAACGAATTCATCCCTTGAATGTTGGCAACGATTACATGAAACAATAGAATTCCGTGATAGAGACATGGAACGAGTTCAGAGTTGGTTCATGGAACGACGTCAGAAAGTATGTTTCCTGGTTTCTTCATAGTATTACTCTTTCCTTCAGGCTATTAAAGAAGCTCTGCAACTCCTGTTAGAACAACATGCAGCTTTACTTCGAGCTCTACTAGATACTGGTGATGCTTTACTTGTTTATTGTTGTCGGTTCTCATCCGCTGAGGCCGAGTTATCTATTGGAATGCGGGAAACTGATCTCAGAGTCTGGATGCATGAATTGGATATTTCCACATCAATGGTACTAACATCGTTCTCATGCCAGGTTATATTTCTTTGTTTAGCTTTTGGACATATCATCTCGGCCTATGGCATTCCGTCCCCCTTATTTGGGAGGTAACAAACTGGGTATGATACTTATGCAATTGCGGAGAGATTTTTGCCTGCGAGGAGTCTATCCTCAAACTCTTCCTGAATTGCCCATATGTGAGTTTGATCAGGACTATGATGCGACTCATCTTATCTGTTTCAGCTGTTGACGTAGTATTAGGTACAGATTCTCCTTTAGAAAATATGATAGTTTCTGTCCCCTTTGACATGTTAGATCATGAAAATTACAAGGCTTGTTTCATCAGTAAGTCCCAGCAGCCTGTAACTCAGTATATCTTACCATTCAGATCCTCTCTACCTCTTGGCGAAACATAAAGGTGATCCTGACCTTATGAACGCAGCTAAATTGGATAAGCTCCCTCCCCGTTTCGTAACCATCGATGATGCTAAGATAGAAGAAATCATGGAGAAACTTGACAATTGCGCTGTAAATACGCCTATCGCAAACATTGAAGGAAAACCAAAAATCCACAAAATACTGAAAGCTAAAGAAGTTCTTATGAGTGTGGAACCGGAAGATCTAAGAGCTGTATTTATTCGTCTCTGTGCTCGTTTGAGGACAAAAGTAATGTTGGTAGAACAACAACACCGAACTATGAATCGAATCTCGAATGAGGTACCGTGTACCTTATATTGCAGTTGTAACTCATCTTTTTTCAGGTTATTCGTCTGCAAGCCATGAGAAGAGGTTTGGAAGATACAAAAGATAAGTCCAGGGAGAGGGCCACTGGCGGCCGGGAAAGAGATTTCCACTCCTTCCATAGAAATGAAAGGGATCGTGAACGTGATAGAGAAAATAGGAACGAGATGCATAGGGATCGTGATCGAAACCGGCAGAATAGAGAGATTGAGCAACGGGAACCACCTAGGGAGAATGTTGTTCGAAGGCCTATTGATAGAGGAGAATTCAAGGTGAAACTGAGTGTTTAAAAAATCTTTCAAACAGTGTGTTTCAGGTTCCTAACAGGAAACCTAGATCTGAAATCAGTAAACTGCCGAGAAGAGATCAAGAAAAACGCCAGAGATCACCTTCAGTCAAAGACGTTGATCGAGAAAAGAAGGAGGCTATTCCACCTGCTAAAAGAGATAAGCCGACACCCTTACGCTCTTCTGCTGCATCGAATGCCAAAGAAATACCTATCATATCAGAAAAGTCTTCTGACGAAAACTTTGAAAAAGCTGTTCCTCTTGCGTCTGACGCAGTAGCTGTTCAAGTTCCTCCTAAAGCTCCCAAGGTAAATTGAAGCTATATGAGCTCTCGTTGATACGTATGTTATAGGCGCCAAGACCAGCTGATGAAGAGTTATCCGACGGAGAAATTTTATCAAGTGATGAGGATTAACCTTACCAGAATACTTTCCAAAACGTTAAACGGTTCTTTTGTTTTAAGGTGCTTAGTAGGACGAATAACCAAATCTCACATTGCACTCAGAGCATTTATTTAATTAACGGGATACCGAATATCAGTCTTAGATATCTATTTTTGTACGTTTTGTAATGTTTGTATCTCCGGTTTCATATCCCTAATGGACAATAACTTTTTAGTTATGACACATCTCTCACCTTTTTTTTTCAATGAATTTCGTATACGCCTTGAAGTAGATATAACATACCACTGTCACTTATATGTTCCCAGTTTGTTACATGTTGTACATGGACTATCGAAGAGCGAAATATTGATCTCGTTCACAACGAATGTAATGCGATTTATAAAAAATCAAATAAATCTTTTAAAAACAAACGTTTTTATCCTTTGTTCATATAAAATGCAAATGATTTACAAGATTTTCTTAGCCCTCCAATCGTCAAAATCAAAGTCACCTATGTCGTCTTCGTCACTGTCGGGTTCAAGCCTCTTCTTCTTCTCTTTCCGCTGGAATGCATCACAATCAGTTCATCAGTATGTGATGTCGCTTTACCTGTTTCAAAATCTCTTCTTTGCGGATTTCCATATCGTTTAGCCTTTTGAGTTCATTCATTTGCTGATCCATGTTCTCGATGTCTCGCATTATGTACTCCCTCTCTTCTTCTTCATCAGCCTACAACTTATGTACGGTCAGAACGACTTGAATCTCTCACAAACCTTCATTTCCTCTTCTGTAGCCTGCTCATTTACTTCTCTCATTAACTTATCATACTCTTCATCCATCTGAGCATTCTTTTCCAATGTATCCCTAACCTGAAACGGATGTGCGATCATTGGAGCCTAAGCCATATGACTAACCATGTTATCTTTCCGCTTATCATCAAAGAAACCTTGTGGAACACCTTCAATCACTCCTTTCAAATCCTTCCCAACATCACGCTCTTCTTGTTGAGCTTTCTGCCAAGGGGTTTGAATGCTGAAGCCTGTTTAGTACAGAACTACACTGACGAAACTCACTTTAATCTTTCGTCATCAAAGAAATCTGATGGAATTACGGAACTGCTGTTGGCAGCAGCAAAATCTTCTTCTTCTACATTCTCTCTTTAATGATTGAGGGATAAACAAATTAATCTACCTCGTAATCGCTTCGAAGGAGGTGCTTCCTCTTCTGGCCGCTTTCCAGTTCTTTTTGGAGCATTCAGACTTTTCTTCAAGTTTTCTACGCATTCTTTGTGCTTTCGGCCATTCAAATGGGCTAACCATACTTTAGGTTTCACCTATACGAAGTAGCAATGAGTCTGATTTCGATCGAAAGACAAACCTGTGTGTTACAAACTAAACATTGAACCTGTCCATTGCTGGTCTCCTTGGCAATAGCAGGATTCAGCTTCAACCCTGACATCCTGAAATGGTCATACTACCATATAAAGAGAATACGAGTCAAGTGAAAGAAAGATAACGTAAAAGCTCGTCAGATGAGATAACTGGACAATAGAACTTCGAACAAATGCTCAGACCTTTTATGTTTTACCATGCAAAATTATACAATCTCCATATTTTCAAACAGAAGCGCAAACACCTTACATGCGCAAGCCCCTCGCATTGGCGTGGACCATAAACTTGAGTCAAATCAAGAATGAAAATTTTATTATTCATATAATTATAATTTTCATATTGAAATAATGCGGAAGTTAGAACATATTCGTGATAATTAGTCGAGTGGACTAGTGAAAAGTGCGTTCACATGGGCTGTGAGCCAGGATAACATTAGTTTTCGCGACATATATTCAAACTACTGCTCAGTAATTAGTCCCACCTTCTCTAATACGAAAATTCCCTTAATTTATTCACAACATCAGCGTAGCGATCAAAAATCTTATCGAATATTTCCTGGTTCAGCTCAATAGGCTCAGCCACTCTACTAAGCTCCTGTCTGTTGTACTCATCGTAGCTCATCTTCGGTGCACAGAAATCTGAAATTTGACAAATATCAAAGTTGGAAGACTACTAAAGTCTGTCTTTTACCATATCTAGCTCGCATCGCTCCTCCCAAAGCTGCAGAATCAATTTCATTAATTGTATAGACAGGCATGCCAAATACATCTGCCAAGATTTGTTGCATGTGGCTGTTGATGCTTCCACCTCCCGTTAACATCAAGCGTCCTTAATTATTTTTCTCAAGATTTTGCAAATTTATTGGATTTCATGCCATGTTTGGATCTATCTTTGAATATTTTGAATAATTAGCTATTTTGGGTATCATGACGACTGCATTCATAGAACTATTGAAAAGGAAAAATCGCCATTGCCACTCGCCCTCTTATTCTTTTCAAATTATAGACCAACTGTTTATCATTCCTCCCACTCTCACTTATTACTTCATATCGTTTGTTTTTAGCTTCATTGCTATTCACAGTGTAGCCAATTGCAGCTGTTAACAATCAGTTTATACAATCACACGTTGTTTTCGGCTTTTTTCTACACCCCGTCTACTAACCCTGTCTTGCTCTCGACCATCCCATTCGTTCAGCATAGAATCTTTTCCATAAGCATTGACTTTCCATAACTGCTCTAGCTTTCTCCTAATCAATTTTTGCTTCATAGTTTCTCCAGCAATAACATCCCTCAAACCTTAATTGTTATCTCTGATTGCTGGCAATTTTCTTCGTCGAAGTAGTAAACGCCTCGTCGACATCTTGGCGCGATTTCATCAGAATCGAAGAATATCCCTTAAGTGCCCAAATTAGGCTACGAACATCCAAAGACAATTCGCTACCGATTAAACCTTTATTTCCGACCGGTGTTTCGTCCAGAATTTTCCCAAAATCGTTCCAAGATAATCCGGTTTTCGTACGTATTCGTTCTCTTGTTAAGGATCCGTTCTTGAAGCTAAAAATAGGATTGAAAATCAGAGATTTCCTAAAATTCCAGACCATACGAGCCCCATAAATGCATTTGCAGAGCCGTTAAAGTGGCTGAAAACATGAGCATCTGTGCAAGGCTTGTATTGCGAAGACGTGAAGAATAAAGTGTCGCTTGTTCCTAAGGAGATAGCAATGTCATTGGGCGAGAGAGAGAGAGCAGCCAGAGAAGCTTAATGCTTAGATAATAAAAACAGTTTAGCTTTTTATCCATTTTACCCGGATTATCCCCTATAAACGGAAGAACGTTACAATCAGAAGAAAAACCGTAACGATCAACCAAGTATCTGGATATTGTGCCCTAAAATAGCTTGCGCGATATTATGAAACAGTCAATGCAGACAGTATAATCACCAATGCAATGGATGGATTACAAATGTCACCAAGCTTTTGTTGTAAATCCACAATATTTTGTGAGCCACATATGCTTTTTAAACATTGCTCATCCCATCGTTGATTCTTGAAATATTTCATTTTTATTTTTAATGTTTTTTTACAATATCAAATAGATATTTATCATTGTTAATTACCTTTATATTCATTACATTCATACCGCTACCGTCTGTATAGTCGATGTTCGCATATTTTCCGATGAAGAGTGAACACAAAAATGATGAAATGAGCGATATTCTCTGAAAATCGCCCATTAATTGTAACACACAACATTTTGAGAAAAAAAGAATTTTAAACTTTTAATGGGAATGCGACCGCTCTCATGAGTTTTCAAAAACAAATAATTCTAGCGCTTACGTGGCATTCACGTGAAGCATCATGCCATCATGTGAGTTTCCCGCTTTTTGTTCTTATCCGCCACGTATTTTTGAATTTTAAAATGTGACTTTTCAATATATATATTTTGAAATTCATCTATCTATCTTACTTCCGTTGATTTCCAAACGTTAGGTTCATTTTCGAAAATTTTCATTATTTGTGGCCCGCTGAAACGAAGATTCGCTCTTGAACCCGTAATTTGTGTCAAAATCTGAATCAAGATAAGCTTTTAAAAGACTAAGACGAATAAAATGTCACCTCTGGTCCTCTAAGATTGTTCTCAAGTTTCTGACATTGCTCGAATGTACTAGAATCCATCCATATTGGGCAAACATCTCTGGAGAAGCACTAGAAAAAAAAAAGAAGAAGAAGAAGATTAATGAAATAATAAAGATTTTCATCAAATACTTTTTTTAGCTGCTCATCAAAAGATTTGCTAAAATCCAATGACGATAAAAGCTCTCCTGATCCATTCGCCCAATATACGGTGCCATGTTGCTTAACCAATCAATTCATCTTATCACTCTCTTTCGGAGAATGCCTGAGAATCCTCATCTCATGAAGACATACTTGTGCGCATCCTGATAAACAACGAATTCGACTCATATCCACGTTTTTTGAAATCTTCTCAAGAATCATATCGACGGCTTCTATCCACATGTGGACTGGCGCATTGACAGTTCTGCCGTCTTCCGCAATCAAAACACCATCCACAGTTCTGCATGTTAAGTCATTAAGTAGGATTGAAATTAAAACTGCTTCCAACCCATATTTGGATAAATCTCTACTAAAGTTGATGGAGAAGCGATGTACAACTATTCCATTACGATCGATGATAACAGCTTTGAGCTAGAATGAATATATATTTTCTTTAACAACAAAAAAAAAGAATAACAAAACAAAAAATGCCTGCTACTCGATTAGTGTGCTTGATGTGGCTGACAACAAGAATTCAAATTAACTGGAGAAAGTGAGAGAGAGAAGGATAGAGAGAGAGAGAAAGAGAGTAAGATGCATATTGAAAGGAATGAAGATTTTAAAAACGATTTAAATGCTTTTCTGCTTCCGTACCTGTTGTGTACTCAAATCGAAGCCCACAAACAACTCTGATTGATTTTCCTCCATTTTGAGTTAAAAATTGGTTGAAAATGATATATTTTTGAGTTTTGTCAACGGTTTGTCTGTAAAATGATCGTTCTGGTTAGTTAAGACTAGTCAATCAGCTCACGTTGTAGTCAAAACGTAACAGTCGACCCTTCTTTGATTGATTGATTTCATTTCTTTTCTACATTACGTCTCTCTCTCTCTCTTTGTTTCTCCCGCTCTTTTAATCATTCCTCACGGCTCCAATATTTTTTTATCGTTAGTTGTAGTTTGTAGTGATTGAGGAACCTATTCTGCTTACTTGGTGATTTTTCAGTTGTCTACTTGTGTTGGCTTTCTCTTGTCCAACATGCAACTGCTTGCTTGACACATCCTATAGCCACTCGATGCATCATCGGATTCCTTTACTTAACCCGGAAGTTCAAAAACTTAGTGGTAGGTCGATTTTTTTTCGTAAACGAACAACTGTACATGTCCATTTCGAACGAAGCGAAACATCCCCTCTATACTCTCTTTTTTTTCTTTGTTTCCATGAAAGCAATAAAAAGAGAGAGTGAAGAAGTGAGAGAAAAGAAAAAATCTGGACATATCACTTGATTTTGCTTTTTGTATGCTCCCATAGGACGCTTAGTAGAGTACGAGACATAACTAAACCGCGAGATGGCACTTTAAAAATCAAAGTCTGCCATCTTCTGGACGTCGCTGTATCCAATGTGTTTCTAGTCGACTTCATAACGCACACGAAGAGGTAATACTGCAGCCGAGTCGTCTTCCATTAATTTTTAATTATTTTTAGTCCCCCCCCCCTTCCTCCCTACCACCTCCCTTTTTTTGCTCTCCACTTATCTTGCCCACAATAAACATTTGAAAAAAAAGGATGAAAAGCTGTACTAACATGCCTGAGGCACCTGATGTGTGAAAATTTCGTTTTTTTTTTGATTTCGAAAAAATGGCTTTCATCTCCCTCGTGCTCAAAGTCTCTCTTTCTCTCTGTCTCTCTCTATATATGTATATCTGTCTTCTATCCCTCTCTGTGCTGATTTCCCCAGTGGAATATTGTTGTTTTTTGGACGTTTTTTTCTCTACTCATCTCCATGTCCTCAGCTGATATTATTCGAGAAATATCCATTAAAGCATGTAAATAGATCAAAGAAACTTAATTTGCATATAAACATCAAAAACTGCCTTATATGTAAGCGAGAAGTGAATGAGAGGAAATCTTAGAATATTAAGCTTCAAACTATTTGTCTTCTTTTTCAAAGTTACAAAGCCTGAGGTGCTTTACCATATGTGTCTCTTTCTCTCTCTCTGTGTTTCTTTTTTTTCCTCTTTCCTCCCTCAGGTCAGTAAATGTGTTCTTCATTTCCTTTTCAAACATATCTCCTTCGCCTCCGATACTCCTTCTTCCCTCCTTTTCCCGCTCCACCTCTCTCTCTCCCTCTCACTCTCTCTCCCCCTCTTTTTCCTTTCCCGCTTAAAACATTATCCTTTTCTAAGTTTTACACTCATTTAATTTTTCTTTTTCCGTTTTTTTTCTCACGCTTTCTCTGCCAAAAACATCTTTGGTTTCGGTCAATTCTCACGTTCTCCTCAAATATTGCTCCTGAACATTCGCAATACGCTTGTGTCAGGCGCTCGTGACTAACATTAAGATGAGTCCTTTTTTTGTTTTTTGATGTTCCTCCAAGAGCAAACTAGACGCAAAATGCGGAGCTTGAAAAGAGATTCTTGTGCCTTTTATCTTTTTCTGTGATCGTGAATACTTGTTATGAAAAGTTTCACATTGATGCTAATGTTAATACTCTTATTTCGTCAAAGATTTCAAAAGAAGAGATCAACCTTCATCTACTTCTTCATACGAAACGATGATGAAGAGGAAGAAGATGAAGAAGAAGATGAGGAGAAAAAAAAAAGGTTGAGAATGTGAAAGAGAGAGAGATATAGAGAGTATAAGAAACTGATATACTGTGAATGTTGGAGAGAAATAAAGATTTATATCTTGAGAGAGTTTCATGCCTGAAGAACACGAAGAGTAAACATAATAAAAGAGAGAGAGAAGAGAGAAATAGAGAGTCTAATGGAGGGAAGGCGGGCAGGGGGTGGAACGAAGGAATGGGAGGGAAATGTAGAATGTGTCACAAGGAATAAACCCAGTGTGGAAGCATCGAGATTTTCATTCAGACCAGCTCGTTGCTTCGACGACAATACGAATAATCTAGAATTCCATATGATTTGAAGTGTCTTCTGTAATTTCATAGTTATATTTTAGTTTTTCCTTCTTTTTTTTATATTCATTCTCATATCCTTCTTCAAATACATATATAGAGACATAGAGAGAGAGAGAGAGAGTTCTATAATGAAATGCGGAACAGCATGAGGTTATATGAAGAACATCCTCCTAGCTCTCCTCACTTCTCATTCTTTCCAAACTTTTCTCTTTCTAGCCTCACCCTCTACCCTCCTATTGCCCGTTTTCTTCTCACTTCATCTATATTTATATATTACACATACACATTATATACATACATACATCGAGACATTTTTGTAATATAGATCATCAAGTGAAATCTCACATTTTTGAGGTTTAATCGCCATTTTGTTGAAGCCCTTTTAAAGCTTTCATCAACTATTTAATTGTTTCAAAATTTTTCATATACGAATGTTATAATTGAAAACTAACAATCCCTTCATTCCAGTTTATCCAATTATAGGCGGAACAAAAAAAAAATTTTCTTTTTTTTTTTTTATATTCTGCTTGTTTTTCATATTCTTCATCTGCTTTTTCATCTTTCTCATATCATGTTGTATGTAGCTGAACTTAGTCTCAACTCATTTGCATAACAACCTCATGTGCTGTTACGTGATGGCGTGAAGTAGCGGAAAGTACGTTGCGTGAGGTAGACAAATCAGTTGCGTTAGTTTTGGCGCGCAAGACGGTTGTGCATTCCATTCCACTCTGCCCTCCCAAAATCCCCACCCTCCCCGTTTCCTCCCAGGCCTTCGAATGAGATCCTCTTTCCCGGAAACCCATTTTTTCGTTTTTTTTTTTTATTTTTATTTTATTTTATTTATTCTTTCATTCTTTTTTTTTGTTGCATTTGTTGCTTTTCATCATTGTTATCATTTATTCTTTTAATAAACAGAATTGAACATTGGTTGCAATATTTAGGGAAAAAAGGGGAAAATAAACATATGTAAAGACAGGTAAATCTTGTCTTTTACTCATTCTTTTGAATGAATGAGAGTTGTTATGGATAGAAGAGCAACAGCTTCTGAGCTGTTTACTCAGCATGTATAATCTGCTGACCATTCTTCATCGTATTTTCCTCTCCTTTCTCTTTCTTCTCTTTTTTTTTTTCAATTTTCCTATGTACATGCTTCTGCCATTGGATATTGAATTGGCTGAGAAAAAGCAAATGTTAAATTGGCAACAATACATAACAGAATGCAATTTTTTTATTTCGTTCTTTATGTTGCCAGAAGGCTTCGTTCATGAAGATGATCTTTCCATTTCATCATGGATAAGCTGAGGAATCTCAGGCTTGCTAGATTATCATACGGCTTTTGAGGTATTTATTGGCTTGTTTCTCCATTGGCATGCGGCCAACCACGTGTTTCCATCGATTTAGAGTCGTCCAGCCTGGCAAGCAGGCTAGCAGGCAGTCAGCCACTACCACCAACGCTGCCATAAGCCCCCCTCCCTCCCATCGAATCTCCTTCTCTTCTTGGCTTGCCTACTCTCCTTTGCATCTTTTTCACAGCATGTCTTTTATATTTCTCTGAACGTTTCGCATTTTAATCGGTTTCCTTTTCTGATTCTCTTGATTTTATTTAGTTTCGCCTACTCTTTCTTATTTTAATCACAGCAGCCAGATGGGGTTGGTCGTACGTCTAACCCTTCCGACGTCCAACACCTTCCAATCTCTCATTTTTCCCTAACGAGAAGAGGCCAAATATCAATTTGTAGTTACTTGTAGTAGTAGTAGTAGTAGTAGTAGTATGTTAGCTATTTATAAGTTCTCAAGGAATTCAAATCATAACATCAGCCAGGAATTTCTATTTCGTCATCACTATTAAAACAAGCTGCTTGCACTTAAATTCACCTTTGTATGATGATGTTGAAACCTTCGAAGATATATATAATCAAGCTATATTCAAGTATCAGGGAACGCGATATGTATTTTCAATGAAGCAGAAGAAGAAGTGAAATAGATAAATTCATGTGTGTTAGTGAGTGTGTGAGTATATGTGTGTGTGTGTGTGTGCTATTTACTAAAACAAAGTATATGAGAAGAATGTGTTGAATGCAACCGTTCCACAAATACGCATATAGCTAACTAAGCGTAATCGAAATTAGAATATTCTTGTACATTACATCTCATTAGCATATCATATGACGTGTATTTCACGTGATACATGTGTGATGATGTGTTCTAATAGAACACATTCATATTATCTTTTTTTTTGTTCTTATCACATGTTTCTAAACATATAAAACTTTTTTTTTCTTTTTCTCTTCTTTTCCATATATCAATATATGGTCACATGAATTTATGTTTATTCTCATTACTTATATACACATTTATTATTTTTAAATTTAATTTATGATTTACCCCTTAGAAGCCAATTATAATTAATTGGTTTTGTACGTGGTTTCACGTCTTTTTTTTCACATTCTCACTCATACTCTCTTTATCTCTCTCCTTCTCTCGTACTCGCTCTCTCCGTTCGACAATTTCTTGACAGCAGAATTTGGGACACAAAAACATTTTTGTGTGTCGGACATGCTTTATTTTTTTTTTTTTTATTTTTTACTCTTTTTTTGCTCATTTTATACTTTGTGGCTATGTGTGTTAACAAGCTCAGTTACAAAATTCTGTTACGATTTCAATATTATTTTGAAATTGAAAATTTATTTATCTGGCCCTGTTGAAGAACGGCGTCATTATCATCATCACCATGCCGTTTTTCTTTTTTGCTTATGCTTTCTTTTTTTTTCTTTTAACGAAATCAATAGTTCTATTCTTCTTCCTTTTTTCTCCACGATGAGTATGATTTAATCATTTTTCTTTAATTCTCCGTTCAAAAATGAAGTTATTCATTGAATTTGATTTCGAAGTTTGCTTAGATGCGTCATCGAGAGATCTTTAATAGTCTGATTGAAATGAGAAGAAATGGGAAGAACAGGGTGATTCTATTTCACTTGTTAACATGGTCGCTATTCATAATCTCATGTAGTAAAGTGTCATCCATGACAAGCCCTGACAAGCGGTTAGTGATGATGTCGTTTTTCTGAAAGATCATGGAAATGGCTTGTTCGTCTATTCTCATATTATAACATTTGTTTATGATGAGTGCTATCCTTTATGTGTGGAAGCAGTATAGTTCCATTTTGAGTTCGTTTTTGTTCCTTCGACATGAAAATTCTATGGAGAAAAAAAAACATTTGTCGTCTTTTCGAGATGAGAGCATGAGAGAAAGATAGCTAGCTACGAATACGACTATATGTGAAAAGACTAGAAGTGAGAAGAGAAGTTTCAATGCAAAACACAATTTGTACGAAATTGTGAAGTGTTTTCATTCCAGGCTGATGAGTATATAAGATATATCATTTTTAATATAATCATTGTTTTCTCCTCCCCTCATCTCTCCTTCTCTATATCCCTATCACCTGGGAGAGGCAGATGTGAATATAAAATATAAGGTTATCTATCTTTCTCTGCTATATATATATATATATATATATACGCATATGTCTATCAATATCTAGATGTATTCATGTTTTTCTATATCCATTACATGCGGAAAATAACCTTATTTTTATGTTTTTATTAATAAAATGTTGAGGACGAATGATATGCATATGCGTATGTGTGTGTATGTCTATGTGTGTGTTAGGCAGTAACTAGTCAGAAATGATTCATTTTCATTATAAATACCGTGTATGTCTCCAGATGTAGACATATAGGTAGGTGTAAGATATGAATTATTGCGACGATTTTCTAGTATAGTCGTGGTTTGAACCTTATACTTGATGATTGACTGATGTCACACTAAAGGAAAACATGAATATGTCCTGACATTACAACCTTCTTCTCCATTTGTTGCAGCTTTCATCCTTTCCTTTTTTTTATTTTCTTTGCGTACATTTTAAGTAAATTTTTGTTGTCTTTCATTTGATTAAATTTTACATATTCGATGATCTTGCTTAATCATGCGCATTGGTCTTTGCCTTTCGAAATCGTTCCAGTTATCCCTTAATATCAACCGTTCTGTACGCGCGCGCATACACACACACTTATACTCATACATCGCATGCAAATGATGGAAGCGTGTGTGGCGTGATTTCACGTCCCCGCGTGCATTCGCATAATATTCTAATTCCATATCGAAATGCATTTATTGATTTTTTCGGAAATGGTCGTCGCACTTAGCATATCCTTCGTTTGTTTCTTTTTTGAACTTGTCTGTTTGTTGCCAAACTTCTCATTGTACGACGTCGTCGGCCCATACATACATATATATGATTTCCATTTTTAGTCTTGTTTTCATCATTCCTCCTAATCAATTGACTTTGGCGTGTTTTAATGTAAGCTGTAGAGCAGCGAAGGAGGGGGGGGGGGGGGAAATATTATTCGTTTCGATGTGAATATTTCATTTTTCATTTATTGCAACAAACTTTATCCCTAGTTCTAACAAAATTTCTCACTTGAGTTATGTATGTTTATACTCACCACATAGCTTTCCCCTCACAGCCAGCGCTTACAGTTATGAAAGTTACTTTTCATAATAAAAACAGAGACAAAACTTCGTTGTAACTGTTTTTTTATTGATTTTCTCCATCCTGTTTATGCTTTTCCCGTTTTCACTCCTTTTCTACAACGAAAACAGATGATTGAAAAGTTTGTAAGAAGCACGTCTAATTCCTTTTGTTCCTAATCTCTTGTTTACTAGATTTATTACCCTCAAAGAGTTTTTCAGCTCATTTTTTCCGATTTCAAGAGTGTGATCGAGAGTGACTTGAGGTGAATTTTGATGAAAAAAAAACCTCTTAATTCACTCTCTACAATCTCAGAAGACATTGTCATAGCAACGTTCGAATGTTGATCAGTGACCTCTCTCTCACTTCCAACGTTCCTTCTTCATCATCTTCTGTTTTAAATTGGAAGAGCAAATGATGATGATGTTTCAATATTGGAATTTCTCTTGAAGTGCTTGTTATTTTAGAATTCCTGTTTTACTAGCTGCCACTATGTAGATATAAATATCTAGACTTGTTACAAATAAATTAATTATCTTCGAATGTTTTCCAAGATAGGTTTTAATACCTTATTTAACTATCTATTACTATGTGGCCACACATTCCCTTTGCCCATGTCCAGTGTGTGAGTGTGTGTGCTTCGTCGCTTCGTAGTCATCTTCATTTCTCTCGAATTTCGTCATAGGTCCAAGTGCGAAAAACTGACGCACTGTTTTCGGAAACTTTTCGAATCCGGCACAACCTGTCATACTTTCTTCCTCTCTCCTCTACTCTTTGGCTTTTTTTCCATCCTCCGGCGACCAGATGGTGGTTATGCTCTATTAGATCTCTCATATTGTACTCTACATTCGCTTGAAATACCTACAAAGTACAGACTCAATCTGTTTTTTTTTCTCGTGTTAGAGTTCAAGTTTTGAAATTTCCGTTTGCAAATCACGTAAACGATCTGTTGAAGACAGCATCTGCAAATGGAGGGCAGCTTTTCTTGCAAATTTGTCCCCTTGTGTAAGTAGTATGAAGCTGTAGCAACGACAAAATGGCATAGCCCATTGTCTCTCACCACTTTTGGCTATAATAGAACGTCCCATGAAAGGAAAATAGTTTGACCGAAATAGATGAAAACCCGATCATACAGTTAGAGGAAATGAAAGAGCAAAACGTTCGCCAACCTAATGGGGTTCTGATCATCGATGCGCCTGTACGCATTTCAGCGAATGTTGCAGACCGTTGGCCAACAATGACGAAATAAGTGACCGAACATACACGATGGAATCACCCTTATCTTTACGTCTCACACTCTCTCGCTTTCTCTCTCCAGCTTTCTCTTTCTTACACTCTGTAATTTCCTAATATGTTTATGTTGCTTTTCTAAATGTTATGTTCTCGACTGAAGATTGCTAATGATCACGGCATCAGCGGCAAAGATGAGAATTAATGTTCGAAAGATGTTAAAATATGTTCATAAACGTCATACCGACGTCAACCTCCAAATTCACCTAATATTCTTCTTCTCGGGATTCAAAGCAAAGGCTGAGTTTCAATCATTCTCCAAATAAGACTTACCCACTCACTTGCTTACTTCATCATTGTCATCAACACGATGATCTCACATCATTTCTTTTGTTATTTTTTTTGTGCCTCTGAAAAAAATAATTTTGTTTTTGCTTTGTCGTCACAGTAAAGCAAATACAAGAAAAGTCGCCTGAAGTCATCTTCGGCTCTTGTGAGCTTCCTCGATATAATGACCATGTATGTCCTATGTTCTTGCTAGTTTTTGTTCCTCCTTCTTTTTTACCCCTCTGCCCATTAAAGGAAGTGTGTCATGAAAGCCAATTGCTTCAGTTCTATGAAATGCCGGCCAATCTTTTCATTTCAAAATATTGAACATAACTGACTGACACATCTGTTAGCATCATCGGTAGTAATCTGCTATCTAGTTCTCTCTTTCTCTCTACCCCTCTCACTCATGTGGTGAAGTTTCTTAGGACTTTCCCAGCTGTTGGTTCCGCCCTATGCCCTCGAAACAGCTTCCCCTTAAGTGATCACCGGGGCCATTTGTTGGCGCTCGCGTAGGCTATTTCCTCACCCATCATGACTATGTTTTTCGAAGAGCAAAAGTACTTTTCCTCTGATTCTCTCCTTATTTGTAACTTGACAGTCAGTGCGAGACGCGAATCATCGAGAACATCCTGTTCCCCCACGTTCAGTGGTTGGCAGCCGCGCCATCAGTCCATTTTAACTTTGAATTCCTGAGGAACTGGTCGTTCTTTCATTTATACGGCGTCTCAGAACAGTCTGATCAATCTATCAGCCTGTATTATATCTGTTCTGAACTCTTCTATGTCTAAATTCTAATTCGTTATCGCATTTTTTTGGTTATCTCATGATTTTAATGCTATTATAGGTTTTTTTCATCAACCTATTCTGTAATTTTATTGATTCTTCCATTATCTAAGCTTAAATACATCATCGCAACCTTTTTCTAGTATCACTTATCACTGTTGTATTTGAATTTTCAATGTTCAAGTGACGCAGTGCTTATCCCTTAACGGAACCATTGAAGATACTCTCTCTCACTAATTCTCATGTCATCACGTCAGGCTCGTATTTTTCACACTATATTTCCATTTTTAGTCAGCTCAGCTGTGCTTTTTATCTTTTATTGTCGGTTTTAATCGTTTTTCTATTACCCATTTGAAGTAGAGCGTCTAAGAATCCTAATAATTTTCATTTATTCATTTTCCCATGACATGCATGACAGCCATGTCTGAGGGGAAACGCTCTGTCGAACTCTTATCTTTAAGCATCTTCAGCAACATATTTTCCCTCTTTTCAGTTGTCGATAAGGTTAAAAATGTTTCGTTTCTTGTCGTTGTGTACTTCTTTTTATGACTCCGTGTCTTATTAGTTATACTTTGTGCTTTAAGGATCGTCAATGTCAATGGTAGAGTTACGTCGTAACTCTAGCCCTCATCTCGGTTCTCTTCCTCTGCAGTCTACCAGTGGGCCTGTCTGGCGAAAAGCTTCTCATCCTCCGCTCAAAGTTCGTTCAGAAGATGTTCAGCCACTTTTAATGATGCAGAATGCGAAGGTATGTAGTTGGGCCGGAAGTATCTTCTTTCCTAAAATGGATAGAACGATTTGACGACGAAACGAGAAAACATTCTTTGTACTGAACGACACGTCAAAGCAGACATTCTTTGAACAACTCAGCAACTGACAAATCTGATTTCAGCCTTCGACGTCTCCTACAACCTTAGCCACGAGAGAACGTTCTGTGTCACCAGGCGTTTATCACCGAATGCTGTATCATTCAGAGGATCTGAAAAGTTTGATACAATCCATCACTCATGAGGCCAAGAGCATAATCAAGGCTGAAACGTAAGCAACATTCCAAGTCAGTTACGTGATTGTTTTTTCGTTCTCGTTAGATAGTTTCGTAACGATTCTCGCCTTCCATCATTACTTGAGGAAAAGAATAACATACGCCTACGGATCCATTAACATCTAGACTAATGTGTCTCCGGAAGGTGATTATGAATCGTCACCATCTAACGAGGCGACTGACTGGCGCCCATTTATCGTTTCCCTAAAGCTGATACGTAACGAGTGCTGTTTTTCAGATGTTCTTTATTTTTACTGGACAAGGAAAATAAAGAGCTCGTAGCTAAAGTTTTCGATCGGGCTGAGAATCTGTCGGAGATTCGACTGCCGATGGACAAAGGAGTTGTAGGACGTGTAGCAACTACAAGAACAATGATGAATGTTCGTGATGTAAACCGGTAAGTTCGTCAACTTTTTACCTTTCGGGGATCGAAAAAGGAAATGGGAATAATCTGGTTACTGTTCTTATTAGTTTTGAAACCTGTGTTCATGTGTATGTGTGTGTGTGTATGTGCGTGCATGAGGAAGAAAGCGAAAAGCTTTTTTTGAAATCGCGTGTACTCCGCGCATTCTCTCCAACAATAATATGGATGTGGTTGTTGGAAAACATGATGTGCCGTAGTCTTTCATCCTTATTTGCCATAATTTTTTCAAATAGAATGACGGTCATAGATAAGTGAGCAGGTGATCAATGTCAAAGACAGATGAATAGCTTAAAATACATTTTAGTGCTTTTCTTGAATTTTATTCTCTATTTTGATGGTACGAGTGGCGTGTGAAAATCGTGGAAGATACTGAGATTTCTATTTTTTGGCAGATCATTTCGCGGCTCTTTCAAGCTGATTATGCTTTTGCTTCCCAGCAGCTAATAAGATTCTGCTGGAAGGACATCCCAGTAATTTGCTAACGAACAGATGATGAAATTACTCGAACAATCATATTTTGTACCCAAAAAATATCGATTGACTGTTTATCATGCCATAGCTTCAAAAATTTTTGGCTTAAATACGAAACTGGAACTAAAACCTGTTTGTTTTTAGTTGTCCATTTTTCTACACACACGTGGATGAAGTGACAGGCTTCCATACCAGAAATATTCTCTGCTTCCCGATAATTGACAATGCAGGTTAGTGTTTTTTTTTTCATTTTTTACTCTTTGAATGTGTGAACTTCCTGATGTTCTCATGTTTTGAATTGTACAAGAGATAAAGAGAATGAAGAGACAGTAGAGTCAAAAAAGGAGGGAAAGAGAACGGGTGGTCTTCCTGCTCTTTTTCACCCTCTCTTCCGCATGTCTCCCTCTATGACGCATCAATCAGTGATGTATGAGCTTTTGATTTCGCCTTGTTTCATGTCGCTGATAGTGATGACTCAAATTGAACTTTTTTTTCGCAATATCATCACGTCTAAGCCCAATAAGATAATGTTCGAACAGCTCATGTGTCATCTTATCTCTTAGCTTCTTTTATCTCAAGTCAGCAACACTGAATGACAGGGTTGTTTTCGACGTTGAGAAAGTTGACTTGTTTCTAAAATACCTCCCCTTCTTTCCCCTCTCTCTCTCTTAGCTCGTTCTTTGTTTCTTACCCAGTAGACCTCTCTTTATTGCTATCTTGTGTCTTCTTTTCTCCGTGTTCGTCCACTTTTGCTTTTCACTTCGTTTCTCTTCCTCATCATTGCCATTAATATTGCTTCTTGAGAAAGCCACTACTACATGGAAATTACTTAGCTGAAACGAGGCTAGCTAACGGCAGCTGCCTACCCCTGCCAAAAGCAATTTTGACAGTTTCAAGCCTTTTCGAAAAATATTGCTTTACTAATTTGGCTACGGCTCCATTCTCCGTGTCCCAGCTTACCCCAGTTGTTCGATCACTTTTATTGGCGGCCCATCCTCCCTTAGCCATAGTATTGCCACCAGCCTTAGTTATTGGATTGAACAGATGCCAGGGATTACTCTTCTATCTTCCCCACGCATCCTTCTCCTCTATCGATTTTCAAGCTGGTCAGAAGCTTGAAGTGAATGAACGATTAACTCGAAGTTATCAACATCATTTATTTTCTTTCCCCGCTTTTCATTCCGCTTGTTTCTTTCGTTCCTCGCTCACTTTTTATTTTTTCTGCTTTTTTCACACATTATCTTCCCATGTGATCGCGAAGCTCATGAACCTCAGTATGAAGTGAAAGCGCCCATGCTGCTCACAAACAAATCTTCATAAAGCTTTTGTTTCCTAGTAGAATTGTGAAGAAAATGATACAATCTTTTTTCCTGGTTCTTGTTCTCAATAGTCGTTAAATCCTATGATAGAATGTAGTTCTGTTGTTTTTTTTCAAACAAACACTTTAAAGGACTAAGTTCATCTAGGAAGTTTGCTAGATCTTTAATTTCCGAGTAATGCTGTGTTCTCTAATGGGCTCAGTAACTCGTCATCATCATCATCATCATCATCCTCATCATCCTCATCATCCTCGTCATCATCAGCGTCATCACCGAAGCGTATATGATGTATAAGCATGCTGAATGGCAATCAACTTCAAGTTGTGTTCGAATTCAATTATATGATAACACCTATGGTATTGATTTCTTCTTTTGTCATTTCTTATCAAACGAACGATTCTTTTACTGTTCTTTATATATCACCGCTACATGTATTGTGCCGAGTTTTACCTTTTAACACACGCATGTTTTTTTCATCTGTTTGCGTCCCGACTGAGCAAAATGGGCCGAGCTAAGCATAATTACATTTTATTTTCATTGAGTTTATGCCATTTGGAAAGGCGCTCACAAGTAGTTGACGACGACAACGACAAAGTAGTCGAGCTTTCCCTCTTTAGCTCTTGCTTGCTGCTGCTGCTGCTACTACTGCTGCTGCTTGCCACCCAACCACATACTTCTTCCTCCTTTTCTTCTTCTTTGGCCCCTCATTTTCTGCCTTCTCTTTCCTGTCCTCTCCATCTCTTTCGCTCACACGATGTGCTTCAGGCTTCCGTTCGCCGTCTTTTCATTCCCTCTTCCCCTTTCCTTTCTGCCTTCTAATCTATGCGTTCCTGAAAAATACTGCTGCTGCTGCTGCGCCTGATTTTCTCATCTGAGTCCCATGTTGAGAGATCTACATAGTGAGATTGAGTTGATAAATGCATTCTATTCCTCTTTGTTGTATTTCGCGGCAATGCCATCCCAATGACATTCCAGGATATTGCCGATGAGTACAATCGTCTTATGTGAGCTTATGTCTTCATTTGTCTCGTTAATCTTTTTCTCAGCCTCTAATCGACTACATGGGGTTCACTGCCGTTTACCCATTTTATCATTTTGCCTTATAAAGACATGCATTCATTGTGGTTGTTGGAACAATTTCATTCTTTGTGCCACACGTCCACGACGACCATTCTATTTTTTGTGTTTGATGTCTGCCCTTCCTCTCTCATAGTGTGTGATATCTGTTGATCGTTAGAGTCAATCGAGTTGCCGATTGCTGTCCTTCTTCTCACTTGGTTGTTTATTTAAAAATTTATGATTTCAGGTACATTTGTTGGTGTAGTTGAACTTTGCAACAAAGAAGGAAAATCTGGATTCACACGCTACGACGAGCAAAAGGCCAGGACTTTTGCTGTATACTGCGCTACCAGTCTATCGCATGTCAGTTTTTCATTTATTTCTCACGTTTCTTTCTTTTTTTCAATTTGACTCGAAAGCTTTTTGAGTTTTTATCCAGCGTTACTTTTGCCCCTTAACATCTGCCATCTTTTTCATAGTTCACAAGGTTATTTCTGACTTCATTGAATGACGTGGCCTCATCACTTTTATAACCCGACCACCCACTGTTTACATAGTTCGTGATTTGTTTAACAACATCGATATGTTCTCCTCTGGTTTCCGAATTACTTTGTTTCATCACTCTCAAGCTTCTTTGCGGCTTTTCACTTTCACCTCCACCACCTCTACTTCCACCTCGGAAACTCAAACCTCGCACATGTACTATCGTCGCCCTGATCAGTTTCGTGGTCACCCTCAGTTCGTCCTTCTTCAGTTCTTCCGCTACTCTCGCAAAGGTCTTAGAAGGATAGTTGTAAGTGTTCTAAACCACTGGTTCTCGCATCATGTTTCATTTCTTTCGCACTCTCGGTTCCCTCACTTCTGACATTCCATTCTAATCAGCATTTTTCTCATATTTCGAGTTCATTCTTTCGCGTTCGGCTACCATTTCGGAGACGCTATCATCTCTGTTTTTGCGCATTTTCATGAATCTGTAATATTTGCATTTTGTGTTGCAGTCTTCTGTCATCAATGCCGAAACAGAACGAAAGAAACTGCCAAAAACATCTGAAACAACATTTTGTTGTTTATATCAGTTTTCAATTTGTCTCATAAATATATTTATGATCAGCCTTTTTTCCGATGACTCCATTGGTGAGTCAAGTGAAGGCTCCGAGTTCTTGCTCCTTTTCACTTTTGCCCCCGACAGCTCTATCTAAGTTGCCTTTCACTTTCATATGCATTGAAAGGCGCTGGAGTACTTTTGATTTTCGATATCTTTTATATTTTATTCTGTTCTTTTCTTGACTTTTCACCATTTCAGTGTCTTCTCTACCGAAAAGTTCAGGAAGCGCAGCGTCGCACCCATATGGCAAGTGAATGGGTCATCAAAAACAGCCCATATATGGTGAGTGTGTTCTTGTTTTGCTCTCAAATGTTTTATTTTTTTAGATAAATCCGAAAGAAGTCGAGGCATTATCAGTTAATAAGATTAAGCCGTGGCATGACTGGCATGAGCAGTTCGACAAATTCTCATTCGCCCCGAGAATTGTAGGAGATTCCTTCGATTATGCAGCAGCTGCTATGACGATGTTCGATGTAAGTATTGTTCTTAAATTTAACTTTTTGTTGTGTGTACATGTGTGATTGTTAGTTATGTGTGCTATACAAGATTCGTCCACTTCAAATGGTTGGTACGACTGCTGATTCGAGATTGTTTGTCTCTATATCGAAGAAGCACTAATTATAGTTTTCCCACAATTTTTTCCAAAAGTTTTTACTCCAAAATAATTATTATACCGCTCTCGCTCAGTCTCTTTTTGTGATAGATCATTTGCTTTCATAAACGAAGGCTTAGTTACTGATATTTCGTTCTTGATAGCTTGCGCTTGGAGATGAGTCAGGGAGCAGAAGTCATCCATTTCTTTTCTCTAGAAGGAGTTACTCTGCCACTATGAATTTGTTTACTTTCAGGACCTCGGCTTCTTGAAGCTTTATCACATCAATCAAAGAACTTTGGCTAATTTCGTTCTACGTGTTGCTAACGGATATCGTGATGTGAGTACATTTGCCATTTCCACTCATGTTATCATTCTTTTAAATTATTAAGGTGCCCTACCATAACTGGTCACACGCCTTTGCCGTTGCTCACTTCTGTTGGCTTACATTGAAAACTAAAGCCGTTCGTCATGGTCTGTCTTTACTTTCTGTTTATGTTTTTCAATTTCTCCATTCTCTGAAGGTCTGGATGAGATGGAGCGTTTGTCATTACTTATCGCCTGTCTATGCCATGATATTGACCACCGCGGAACCAGCAATAATTTCCAAGTTCAGACGGTATGAATGCTTAACGAGACTGGCCATGAAATATGTTTTTGCTTTTCAGAACACGCCACTCGCTCAGTTATATTCAAGTGAAGGAAGCGTGTTGGAACGTCACCACTATGCTCAAACTGTCACCATTCTTAGAGTACATTTTCGCAATGTTATTACTTTGCTCATACTTGCACTTTAGGACAGCAACTGCAATATCTTAGATCAGCTCACTCGTACTCAATATCAGCGTGTTATGAATCACATTCGGGATATTATTTTAGCCACCGACATTTCCGCTCATCTTCAGAAATTGGGAAGAATAAAAGAAATGGTTGGAGGTACTTCGTTTCCATCAATAATTCTATTGAAAACATGATTTGATTGAAGGATACAATTATACGAGTCACGATCATCGCTACCTCTTCATGTGTTTATTAATGACAGCCAGTGATTTATCCGATCAGTCAAAAGACTTCAGTAATTCGAAGGCAATTGCGGTAATCAATGTTTGATCAGTCATGATATTTTATGTTTTCATTGCTTTCAGGAAAACATTTATCGTGAGTTTTTCTCTCAAGGAGACATGGAGAAGCAAAACGGAAGTGAACCTCTAGAGATGATGGATCGGGAGCGTGCTAATGTGCCTAAGATTCAGCTTGAGTTTATGGATGATGTAGCTCTTCCAGTTTTCGAGTTAGTTGTTCGTAATGTTCGAGAGTATTAAAGCTGAATATTTCAGAATGCTTTCGAAGCTAGTTCCCGAAGGAATCTCAACGTATCGTGCAATTTCTCACAACAGAAAATGTTGGAAAGCCTTAGATGTAATAATGAAGAACAAAAAAAGATCTGGAAGTAGTTTGGAGTATTTGAGAGACAAATCACTAGAACAAGAAGTCCTCAAAGCGGTAGCTGAAAGCGATAAAGAGGAAGTAAGCCAATTGCTTCCCATAAATGGCATGAAAATATTCGTTTAGAAAGAAGCTACAAGCAGATCGAGCCGATAATAATACGGTTCATGTAATTTAAAAAGTTAACAAACTTTAGCGGGAGTGCTATAGCCGGACGGGTTTTACATTTTCATTCCTATCATTCATTGAATATGACGATGTTTTATACTTATTTGTATGTGTTTTAAAAATTCGTGTTTCCAAACTTTAATCCTAAGCTTATATTATATTATCACATCACGACCTGTTCGAACTAGGTGTCTTAGCTTGTGCATATCCTGGTCTTTGTACAAACCACATTTATCGGTTGACGAGATTTTTCTTTCAGAAAGTTTTTAAAATTATGATTTCCACCATTCCATCACATTAAATTATTCCTTCTTATTTTGTATTTGTTTTACAATATAATTGAGTATACTAATTGATTTGTCTTGTGTTTTGTATTTCATAAAATGTTTCGAACTGCTTTTCTTTTTATGACATGGGCTTGCACAACAGTTGCGAATGAAAGGAATACCATTGAACAGTTCTTGGCTAGATGTTATCAGTGATGACAATCGCAATACATTTTACCAACAACTCTTCTTTTCCAAAACTTGACAAACCTTGAACAACCTGTATGCCATCTGCGTAGTTTGAGTTTTTCGAAGCAAAAGGTCTCGTCTGGAACGTGTGTGCCCTTGAATTTTCATTTGAAAACTTTTTAAAGTCGAAGTCGGTTGCATTACAACGTGCTCTCTCTATCTCTGTGTTTTTCCACCAACAGTTTTATTGAAAAAACAAAATAAGTTTTTAATGTTTCTTATTGTTTATCCTTTGTTTACATTTCGCGACGTTATGTTGTTGATTTCTAACAATCGAAGCGCACCGTGTTTGCTCTCAAAAAAAAGTCGATTTTCGCTGAACGTGATATCCACGAAGCCGGAATTGTTTCAAATAAAATCGATTCTGTTTTGAACTCACCCCTTATTGATCCCCATTGGTTTGGTGTCCTTACCCCTGCCCCGCTTCAGGCACAATGCGTTTTCTGTTTTCACCTTCCGGAGTGAATCGATGGGTCTTCCAGAGCAAGCGGATGGCTTCTTATCTGATCAACGATAGTAAATACTCCTTCCTGAAGGAACTTGGTTTGGCTGAGCAGAACTGCGGTGTTTATCACGGAAAATGGGCTGCCAGTGGACCAGTTACCGAATCTTTCAGTCCCGCTAATAACAAGGCAATTGCTAAGGTATGGTGAACTCTGAAGGTTGCCATAAGCTTTCCATCCTAGGTTCAAAATGGAACTGTTGAAGATTATAAGATTGCCTCTGCTGAAGCTAGAAAGGCCTACAACGTAATTTCTTTCTTTCTTCAAATGATTTTTATTTTTTATTCTTAGATGTGGGCTGATGTCCCAGCTCCTCAACGTGGAGAAATTGTTCGTCAAATTGGAGACAAACTCCGCTCGCAATTAAAAAATTTGGGAGCTCTTGTAAGAGACAAAACAAAACAATCAATTTTTTATAAATTCAATAGGTCTCTCTTGAAATGGGAAAGATCTCCGCTGAAGGAGTAGGAGAAGTTCAAGAATATGTTGATGTGTGCGATTACGCTACTGGACTCTCCCGCGCCTTGAACGGACAAGTCATTCCATCTGAACGTCCAGGACATTCTCTCTTGGAACAATGGAATCCTTTGGGTACATTAATACTCGTTGTACTTTTAGAAGATGACATGTTTTTATAGGAGTTGTTGGAGTTATTTCCGCTTTCAACTTCCCATGTGCTGTATATGGATGGAACAACGCACTTGCTTTAGTCACTGGAAACTCTGTTATCTGGAAACCAGCACCATCGACCCCATTAACTGCCATTGCTGTTACAAAGTGATAAAAATAGAGAACTACGAAAAATGACGAGAGAAATTTAAGATTGGTTGAACAAGTTCTCGTGGAGAACGGACTCCCAGGTGCTCTTTGCTCTCTTGTTTGTGGAGAGGTAGGCTTTTCTTTAATTCATCTTATGATTATTATTGTTGTTGTAGGGAGAAGTTGGCCAAGCTTTAGTCAACGATAAGAACGTCAATCTCGTTTCTTTCACTGGATCAACTGAAGTCGGAAGAATTGTTGGACAACAAGTCCAGGGAAGATTCGGAAAGCTTCTTCTCGAGTTGGGAGGAAATAACGCCATCCTCGTAAATGATGACGCCGACTTGGATATGGTTATCCCAGCCACAGTTTTCGCTGCTGTCGGAACTGCCGGTCAAAGGTTAGTTTGTGATAAGAAAAAACTGATAAAACAATTGTCATCAGATGCACTACAACAAGAAGACTTATCATCCATGAGGCTGTCTACGATCAAGTTCTTGAACGCCTGAAGAAAGCTTACGTTCAATTCGAGTCCAGAATCGGAGATCCACTTGAGGGAAATACCATCATTGGTCCCCTTCATAATGAAGTAGCTGTTATGAAATACAAGGTGAGATTTTCACTTCAACATTTCCGTATAAACTGTCCACTTAAGGCTTCCATCGCTGAAGCTATCGCTTCTGGAGGAAAGATCGAGTACGGAGGAAAGGTTTTGGAACGCGAAGGAAACTATGTTCTCCCAACCATTGTTACTGGACTCGCTCATGACGCTCCTGTCATCCTCCGTGAAACTTTCGCCCCAATCCTTTACGTTCTCAAGTTCAAAGATCTTGATGAAGCCATCAAGATTAACAATGAAGTTTGTTCATGGTGGCAGGAATCTTAATACGTGTTGTTTAGGTTGGACAGGGTCTCAGCTCATCCCTCTTCACTAACAATGTTCGCAACGTTTTCAAATGGATTGGGTAAACGATGAAAATCAACTCGTCCTATCATAACTGTTTTAGACCTAAGGGAAGTGACTGTGGAATCGTGAACGTCAACATTCCAACTTCTGGAGCAGAAATCGGAGGTGCTTTCGGAGGAGAGAAAGAAACTGGTGGTGGACGTGAATCTGGATCAGACTCATGGAAGCAATACATGAGAAGGTAATTAGGTGTAAAGTTTTTAAATGAAGTGAGACTTGTTCAGATCTACTTGCACCATCAACTACAGCAACCAACTTCCATTGGCTCAGGGAATCAAATTCGAGTAATTAAACAAAACATGTAATAATTTATGACTATTCCTAAATATTTTCCGGTGAATATTTTTTTTGTTGTTATGCAACAATCTTAAAGTCATATCGTTCTAGATATTTGTAATGAAATATTTCTAATATACATTGTTAAACATGTTTCCATCTGCCGACGCTCAGAGTTCCAATTTGTTTTTCTCAGTTCTCGTTTCGTAGTTAACGTACTCATTCCGGTTTAGCTGAACCTTGCGCGTTGTTTCACTGCTGTTAGGATGGCGTCTAAGATTGTTGCTCCGTTCGGTACTTGGGAAAGTGAAATCAACACTGAACTTTTTTCTAAAGGAAACTGTAAAGCTATAACTGAACAGCTTCCTGGGCATGGTTAGCTTTTTATAAGATTTGTCATCAAGAATGATGTTAAGGTGGTTTCTACTGGATTGAACAGAGCTTGTCAGGAAAAAGAGAATTGTATTTCAAAACTCTTACAGAACCAGCTGTTCGTTGGGCTCCCAATCAATCAGTTCAGAATTCCGGTTTCTCTCTCTTTTCGGTCAGAAGGTCAACAAAATCATCATTCTAGTTCATGAATACGGAGGTGGAAGTTTTGCTTTGACCAGGGAAGGAGGAGTTATCTATTCCACAAACGAAGGTGTATATGAGCAATCGGAAGCTACCGCCACTCCTATTCTTCTGGCATGTGGTGAAGGAGGAACGAAGAGGTTTCTTCGTTCGCTCAGTGTTCATTCATAGCTGTATGAATTCAGATTTGCTGACTTCGATGTCTTCAAAAACTTCATTTACTGTGTTTGCGAGGTCCACACGAAGGATGAGGTTGAAAACAAGTTAGTCGTCATTGATCGGTTCAGCAAAAGACAAACAACTTTCGTAAGTAATCTCCTCAAGCCCATATGAATTCTTCTTACAGGCATGTGGTGCGGATTTCTATGCAAATCCTCGCGTCAACAAAAAAGGTACAAAAATCGTTTGGATGGAATGGAACCATAACAACATGGTTTGTTCAGTGAAATGTTCAGTTCAGATGATCACTTTTTCAGCCGTGGGATGAGACAATAATCAAAGTAGCCAATGTTTCTGAAGAGGGTAATGTTTCCTCGGAAGAAGTTTTCCGTTCAGGTGTGGGAGAGAACGTAAGTCTACTATTTGCTCAGAGACACTCCCAAACTTCTTTAAGATCAACTATCAAGGACCACAGTGGGTTGGAGATGAAATATACTTGAGTCATGATGCCTCGGGTTATTGGAACATCTATAACACAAACTTCTTCACAAAAGAAAGTTGGTAGTATCAGTTTTGTGAAATATTTATATCCATTTCTCAAGGAGAGGAATCAAACATGTTCTATATACACAAAGATATTGGACTTCCCCTCTGGCAATTTGGTGATCGTCGTTTTTCCAGCAATGGGACAACCATGGTATATCCCCGCTCTGTATGCTCTTGTTACTGATCATCTCATAGGTTTTCTTCATGGACCAAAATATATATCTTCAACGTGGGGAGGCAATCATTGATCTCGAGACGGAAGGGTACAACACTTTCTCGCACGTTAGCTTGATTGATAATAACATGATGTGCTGTATTGCTTCTGGCCCAGCAAAACCATCGACTCTTTTGAGAGTCAACTTCACGAGAAGACCTGTATATTTAGGTACAAAAATACGTCCTGAACAAGCCACTTGCAGATTCTAACCGACGTTATCAGAACTTCTGTGGACGACGGTTTGATCAATCCAGAAGATATCTCGCTTCCTAAAACCATCAAATTCAAATCTGATGGCTTCGATGTCACTGGCTATTTCTACGCTCCTACTGTTCGTCGCTCTGTTATTTATTTTTTAAGATTGATTTACAGAATTCCAAGTATACTGGAGAGGAGGGTGTTTTGCCTCCTGTGATTCTACTGGGTCATGGAGGACCGACAGCAGCTGCGAATCAGGGAATTGATTTGAGGAAACAATATTTCACAAGTCGCGGATTTGCAATCTATGATGTAAACTATCGCGGATCAACTGGCGACGGTTCTCAATTCCGCAATAGGTCTGTCTTCTCTATTTCTCAGTAAATTGAACTATTGTTATTGGTTTCAGTCTGAAATCAAAATGGGGCGTTGTGGACAGAGACGATATGATTCTTGCGGCTCAAATGCTAGTTGAGAAGAAATTAGTCAATCCCGATCAAGTCTGTATCAAGGGAAGCTCTGCTGGAGGGTGATTTTCGAGTGTTTAACCTGCAACTTGATATCTGTTTCAGTTATTTGTTGTTGAGTTGCATTCAACACTCGGATGTTTTCAAAGCTGCTGTTTCTCTTTATGGCGTAGCCGATCTTATTGGACTAGTGAAGGTTCATATGAAAGCATCTCGAAACTAATTTTTGATTTTTGCAACAGGACACTCATAAGTTCGAGAAAGGTTATAATATTACTTTGTTAGGAAAATTCCCTGAAGAGATTAAAACCTATGAGGTGACGCGCACTGAAGACTTTTACAGTTCCTCACCAAAATGTTTTCAGGAAAGAAGTCCGATTAACCACATCGACAAAATCCAGTGTCCTATTGCTTTCATGCATGGAAAAGAGGATACTGTCGTCCCTGTTAGTCAAAGTGTTGAAATGTATGAAAAACTGAAAGCGAGAGGAGTCACTACAGCCCTGATGTTGTTTGAGAGTCAGTAAAGACGATTTGAATGGAATAAAAAATTGTTTTGTTCAGATGAAGGACACGGCTTCAGAGGAGTGGACGCTATGAAAGACAGCGTAGAAGGAACTTATTATTTCCTTTGCAAAGCCATTGGAATCGAGCCAACAGGAACATCGAAGGTAACAAGTTGCTAGAGTGCGATCAAAGGTCTAACACGTACAAATTTCAGATGGAAATTGTGAACTTGAAGTAATTTATTAATTTATTGGAGAAGTGTGAGTGTGTGACAATGCACCGCAATGCTCGATTATGATGTTTGACAATAAAATATTTTTTACTATGTTTGATTGAGTTTATGTCGTAATATTGAACGTGGGTACACCGAATAAGGATATTATCGATCGATGACTCATGGTTCGCTATCAATTGATCGCACGTTTCTCTTTATTTACATAGTTTTACAGTCGGTGCTGACCGAATTTTCGCACGTCTGTTCAGTCTTCCCACAATTGGAAGCAGTTTTCCTCTCTGATTAATTGCAATGGAAGTACTTCTTTTAATCTTTTGCTCTTCCAATTGAGATGGAGGCTTAGAAGGCGTCGATGTTTTTGAAGTTCCCCCCCCCCCCGTAAAGTTCGCTGAGTCGTCATATTTCATGTTTCTTGTGCGATAACACTTCGCTTCCCAACGATTCGCAAGCAAATTTTCACAATTTTTTGCTAACTTCTGCTTTTTTGATTGAACTTGAGTACGTTATCGATAACTTTTCACACAATTACGTTGCTTCACTCCCTCTTCAGTTGTATGTTAACCTGAATACATAGTTGCTGTGAATGGCATCGACAAATTATGTGCCTAATGCTTTCCCTGAAATAAAGTTCGATACAATCAAACTTGGCCAACAGATCGGTCGTGGGTCATTTGGTTCTGGTTAGTATTCTGTCTTTCTTTTATCATTAATTGAGATAATCATTACTTTATAGTTCATGTCGGTACGTGGTTCATAACTGAGGAGATTCAGAAGATAGTAGCTTTGAAGAAAGTTTTTGTTTTGGAGAAAGAAGCTGAAATCCTCTCAAAGATCCGACATAGGAACATCATCGAATTCTATGGCATCAGTAATACCAACTCTAATGTCTATATTCTAACCGAATATGCCGAAAACGGCTCCTTATATGATTATCTTCACAAGATAGATTCTCCAAAGAACGATTTTGTGCGTATTTTAGAATGGGCGACACAAGTAAGTGCATTGTATCAAAGTTTGTTAAGAGTATTATTTAGATCTCTTCCGCGCTAGTGTATTTGCATTACGAGGCTGTCACTACTATCATTCACCGCGATTTGAAATCCAGAAACGTCGTTCTAGATGCGAAATTCGCTTGCAAAATTTGTGATTTCGGGACCTCCAAAGACTTAACGCAGTCTTTTGCATCTAATTCATGGGTTGGAACAGCTGCATGGATGAGGTTAATAGCTTGTTAATCACTTTCTCTTAAAAATAACCTGTTTGAACTCCAAATTCCATAACCTCGAACCTGTTTTTGTTATATTTTGAAATTTGTAAAGAAAACACAAACACACATTGCGTCAGTCTTGTCAAAAATGATTCTGCGAGTGCAATTCACGTGCACAGCTGAGAAAGTGATTTTTCAGTCCGGAATTGATAAAACAGAGCGAGAAAATAACAATAGCGACTGATGTTTGGAGTTATGGAGTGGTTCTATGGGAAATGCTATCTCACGAGGTTCCATTCAAGGATTTCTCTGAGTTCCAAGTTTACACTCAAATCTCTGAACAAGGAATCACATTAGCCATTCCTGAACAATGTCCTATCCCATTGAAAGAGTAAGATTTCGAACCTGATGTTGTTCGACAAATGTGGTTTAGAATCTTGTACGGTTGTTGGAAAATGGTTCCGAAAGAAAGGTTTTCCATGAAGATTATCAAAGAAAAGCTTGAAGCGATGGCTCGATCCACAAACCTTCAAGAGCAATGTCAAACTTTCCTTGATCGCGAGAATTGGTCTGAGGTTATTAATGGTCAAAAAGAGGAAATCCAGAAGTTGAAAAAAGCTTTGGAAAAGAACAAAGAACTTCTACACGCCAAAGATAGAGCGCTTCGCAAGAAATCTCAAGAAACCGCTATAAGAGGTTGCATCTTGTGAGTCAAGGTCACTGACTCATCCAACTATTTCAGAAGTCCTCGGTAAAGCACCGGAAAACGTGGCCTTGTGGACTGAGCATGATACTGCAAGATGGATAAAAGACATTTTGGAAAAGAAACGTTGGTTCTGAAGTGAGAAACTATTTCATAATAGTTGTTTGTTTCCAGTTGAAGAGGATGAATTAAACATTATCACAGAGAATGTGATGAAGCACCGAATAACAGGTGACAAATTTTCTGGCGCCAACTTATTCCCTAATCATTAAAGGCAACCGGCTACTCATAATGGATGAAAAAGAGTTGGAGAAGTTAGCTTTAACGAAGATAGGATCTAGGATAGAAATTCAGAAGAATCTTAGAGAACTAATAGGAAATCATCAGAGGGCTCTGAATTTTCCCTCTCTTCATGAAGCTGCGATAATTGATAAAACAACTGTGAGTAGTCATAGACTGAAACTAGTTTGAAATTATTTGGAACACATCCATGCAATGTGTAAGCCCGGTTAGCTCAGTCGGTAGAGCACCAGACTCTTAATCTGGCTGTCGCGGGTTCGAGCCCCGCATCGGGCTGGGAATTTTTGCAATTGTTCAAAATGTTTTTTTCAGAAACTAGGCAGAGATCCATTGAACATGAGAAGAACAAGTACTCATGATATCACGCTTCTGCTAGGATTCACAACTTGGTCAACAGGAAAAGTGATCAGATTCAAGTTTTATATAGACAGCGATTGGAAACATGCTGACGTAATTTTAAACTTTTATGGGGGCATTCAAAATTTCGTTCTAGGAAACCACAAACCAACCTACTTATAAGATGATCAAGAGTGCTTGTTTTTCAGTTTACGATTGTAAAACTAATGTAACTCACCAAAAAACACACATAAGTAACTTTGAATTCTTTAGAACTTACTAAATGAACCTGAGTGCCATTTGTGCACCTCACCTATGATCTCAATGAATTGGTTAACCAAAGATAGTAATATAGAGTCTGTACGGGTGATAGCCAATGCTCAATTCGCTGATGCTGTGGTAAACTTACTTTGATCAATATTTTCCATATGTCTATTGATTTTCAGTGTGAACCACGAAGCGCTGAGATGCTTGCAATAGTTTCTTTTATGGAAAAAAATCAAATAGTAGTTGAACGCCCGGTCCAACTACGATTAGGTCATCGTAACAAGGGATCATTCTCTTCATCTCCCGGTGGTAGTCAACGAAGCCATCTACGTGGAGCATGGCAGAAGAAGGCTTCTGAAAGTAAGCATGAGTTGTACGAGGATGAACTCTCTAATCTTAGAAGTGAGTTTTCCGAAAAAGATTTCTGCAATGATTATGTCGATTTCAGTACCTTTGATAACTCCTCCTTCGTCGGCAGAGCCCCTCACTCCTACTAATTCTAATCCAAATATTTTCCGTCCACTGAGTGTAAGATCCTTGAGGAAGAGTATGTGCTGACTGTATTTTCAGAATGGCGCTTATCCTGGGAACATGAAACCCAATTTGATGTTTAGAAAGCAGAAACGAAATTTTTGATCCCTGCATATTTATAAAATATAATATATTCATCATGATTGCTCACTTACTAATCTCATTAAATCATAGATCGTTCATAAGCGACGTTCTACTTCTTATGAACCAATGTATGAGAAAATTCACTCTGATTATCAAGGATAGTTCTTTAAGATCTCCGTGTCGTCGAAATGCTGTTATAAATTGTATTTTTTTCATTTTCTAGCTTCGTTTTCATGAGACAATAGCCTAAAAACCTGTTGATTGCGTGATTAGAAACAATGAAGTGAATTTCTATCCAGCCTTGTCTTATTATCTTCTTTTTAAAATCTTATGCAACTGACCATTTGTTTTTTCTTATTACTCGGGCTTTTACTCACCGAAGCACGTGTGTTCGATGATCAAGCTCGTTTCAAACGGCAGAGTATTCTAGCAACGGAAGAGGGAATTGAAGCTCCCATCACTTTAAGGTAATTCATCAACTTTTCCCTGAATGTTTTTTCCTTGAGATCACTCATCACATGTTTGACACCAGGAATACGGGAACATATCTGTCTCGGTCCAAGAGTTGAAGTTCTGAAGCGAGAGCGTATAGGCATGAGTGAGCGTACAGGCGCTGCCTATGGATATAAGAATGGAGTTGATATTCGTTTGCTTAAACAACTGTACGTTCCAACTATAGAGGATCAAACTGAGATAAGTATAAACTCGAGGATTAAAATATGATGGGTTTCACATAGGCCATAGCATCGGAGCTGTAGTTGATGCTGATGAAGGGACGGGAGCAGTAGAGTTCGGAGAACGTGGGAAAATTTTCAAAATGTGGAAGCATAGCAAGTTTGTCAATTTTCTCTTCAACTAAAGAGTAATGCAACCGCACTGCATTTCACGATCTGTGGAAATGATCTTATGCCCGAGTTTCACGTCAGAGAAATTACTGGCACATCTCACGTTATGCTAATGCGAACTTGTGATTTCCAGCGGAGGGGTGGTTGAATGGGATCGGCAAGGTGCTGGTGTAGACGTCGGATTCAGAGGATCAGCGGCTGATGATACAGTGAAGTAAGTTTATCCTATTCTCTTCAGTTAACTTTTTTGTAGAGTGAAAGCCACAGTGTTTGGTGTTAATGTGGGACCAAACGCTCGGAGGCAAATTACAGGACCCTACGTTATGGGGCCAACTAAAGGAGAACATATCAAACCGGAATCTAATGGTATGCGACCATAAAGAGATGATTAGCTTCAAATATTACAGTGATCCCATCCATCTACCCGGGCTATTATAGTGCTCATGGAGATTGGTATCGAAAACAGTTTGAACGACCAGGTGAGATAGTGTTTGTGGCAATGGTTATGATGATGTTTGCAGGTGATCAATATCGAACACCAGCTCAACGTGCTTGTCCCTGGTGCTTCGCAGTTGACCCTACATACCCAACCGAGAACATCTTCAATACTTTTGGATGATTTGCAAATAATAAGTAACATAGTATAATCATAGAGAAGTATCAGATTTTATCAAATGTCGTTGCAAAGAGAAGAAGTCAAGGAAGAAAATGACTTGCTGAGTGCGAGAAACAGTTGTTTGCCACTATTATCTCCTGGGTCCTTTAGCTATTAGATTCTATCCGTTACTACACAAGCTTTCAATTTTCGTCTTAAACTTATAATTTTTATAAAAATTGATAAACCTTGATCATTTCCGTGTTTATGTGAACTTGAAACGATGATCATATCACTGTTGGTATTTTTTGAAGTTTATGTTGATGGATTTACGAGAAGAAATTCAAGACTTGATAGCTGTTTCGTATATTGTTAACAAGCTGGTGGATGATGTCGTTAAACTGGAAGAAATAACAGAGAGTTTGATAATCGGAGATAAGCATGATTCCTTCAAACCAATCAGCATAGGTGAGTAATGGACTATTTTCACTTAAATTCTTCTTCCTTCATGTAGTTGCTGATGCGTCTTACAACCCTCTATTACCTCCAACAGATACAAGTAGAACTAGACAAGCCCCGATGTTCGATACTTCCCATCTCATCTACGATACTTATATTGTGAAGCCTGATCATATTCCATCATTTAATGAGCCTCAACATTCACCTGCCAATTCCCTGGAAGAATTCCAAAGACTTGAAGAGCAGTTTTCTCATTGTGTTGATAACAATGTGCCTGCTCCGTCTTCTATCTGGTCTAGGAGCTGGCATGAAGGCGCCAGCGGCTCACATTCAAATCACCCATTCACACCTGTTTCCAATCCTAACCACTGGAGTAGTACAAATCTGAACTCGTGTGCTGTTCCCTTTCAAGCTTCTCGTCCCCAATCAAGTTTCCAGCCGGTGACGCCTAGTCGTCGAGTACCTTATAAGGTTTGTACCAAAAGACCCCCTCTGCTCTTATATTTTGTTGCTTTTAGGTGGAAGATGACCAGAGCAAGCGGAAGCGTTCACCCTCGGGAGGTACACGAACAATCTTAGCCCACTTGGAAGAAGAAAAGTTATCTTTGTACAAACAAGTAAAACTCCCTTGTGATCCACTTTATATTTTTCTTCATTTTTTTAAGATAAATGACTTGAAACAGCAAAATGGACAATTGTCAGAAAAGTTACAAATGAAAACAACAGAGTTGGATCGGCTGGTGTGGGAAAGTCAACATACGAATCAAACATCTCAAGATAGATTTGTACTTCAACAACTTAAGGTTAACTTTCTGCTGTTAAACATGAATATGTTCTTTTGAAGGAAGAAAATAGGAAGCTCGCAGGCAAATTAGCAGAAAGGGATGAAAAAGCAGCTCAGAAAGAGAAAGAAATTGAAAGGCTGATCACAGAGCAGGACATACTTCTAGCACGAATTACCGAGCTCTTGAAACATACAGAAGTCAACTCTAATTCTCAAAAAGAAAAAATTCAAGAAATGAAGCTGAAACTAGAAATCTTTGAGAAGACAAACGACGAGCTCAAGGTGAGACAAGTGAAGTACCAATGATATGATCGTATTATAGATTGAAATAGTAGCAAAGGAATCGAAGATAAAACAGCAAGAAGAGGAACATCAAACGTACGTTCTTCACCTAAGAAATACAAGAGGATGTATCACATTTTAAGCTTGTTGAACATGCACTCTGAATTAGTTACCAAAGTGAGCGATGTAATGCGGCACTCGGAAATATCGTCAAGCTCTCACGACGAAGAAATCAAATCATTAGGTCATAAATTGAGTTTAACAGAAATTCGTTGTCAAGAACTAATTGTGAGTTATTGTTTTTATGAAGCCCTAAGTAGAGTGCACTACAGCTAATGATGACGAATCAGAAAAGTCAGTTGGCTGAGAAGGATGAAGAAATCAAGAAGTGTATAGCTCTCATTGAGGAGCTGCAGCAGACAGCTTCAACCAATCAAGAATTAAAGGTTGACTCTCACATCATTCAGCTTCTTCTCAATCTAATAAATTATAGGTTCAATTGACGAATAGAGATAAGATCATTAATGCGAGTAAGGACGAAAAACAGAAGTCTGTTGTTTTTTTTTTCATTTCGTTCTATGATAATTCAATCTTTAAGACTCATAACCATCCAGACAGAATTACTTGGTAAAGTAGGAGAACTCGTTAAAACAAGCGAAAAAACAAATGTAACTCATGACCAGAAGATGGAAGAGATGGCAATGCAGATGCAAGAAACTCTTAAAGTACTTGATTTGACCAAGGTACGAAACGTTTATAGTTCTTGATCAACTATATATTGATTTGAGAAAACATTGAATGAAAAAGAATTTGTTATCACACAAAAGGAAGAGGAACGAAAGAAGTGAGTTCCATAACATCATACACAACCGATTGTCACGCTGCTGTTACAATAAATGAGAGACTGCGCGTGCACGTAATTGTCCACGTGAACTGCTATGCTAATTCCAGGTTAACTGCGACCCAAACAGAGTTGTTACTTCAACTAGGAGAGTTGATTAGAAAATCAGAGTTGAATGCGCAGCATGAAGAAGAAACAAAAACAAAGCTGCTGGAAGTGAGCGAACAACTGGAAAAGGCAAAAGAAGAAAACTCCGCTTTACAAGTTGACACCTTCATGTTACTACTCTGATTAATATTCAATGCGCTTTCCAGAAACAAGTTGGTGAAAAAAGTGAGAAAGTGGAAGAATTAACTAGAAATTACCAAGTGTAAGATGAATAGATTTGGAATTTAATTAATTTCGTTATCCAGACAAGAAAATGAATTAACGACGAAGATTCATGATTTGGAAGCTGATAATACATTGAGTTCTCAGAATGGAAATGAGTTGAAACTTAAAGTTGATGAACTAACAAAGGATTTGAATGAGAAGAACGAAAAAATTCGAAAGCTGAAGGTAATAACATATAGTGTCCGCTGTTTGTGACATAGTTCAACAAAACATTTTTTTTTTTTTGCAGATTTCATTACAATCCATTACAAATGATGTCCCTACGGGCTGTGAGGTGACAAAAAAAATATATTTGTGTCAGGCTTAAAAATAAGTTTTATTTGTAGCTTTCTGTGATTCGCAGTTATGTGCATCCGGAAATTCTTAAGAGAACAACAATATTGGTGAAAGAAGCTTTTGAACTAAAGCAATTAGTGGGTGATGAGGCAGCTCGGTTTATGAGCAATGGCATGGATTCGTTGTTCGGCGAACATTGGCAGGTAAGCAACCGAATGACTTGGACATCAATAGAGAGAACGAGAATGGTTCAGGTTGTCCTATATCGACACAGTGGTCATGGATGTTTTGTGTATCATAATAATAATTGTTTTATCTGCTTCCAATTAGGATCATATCATCTTGTTCTATTCAAATACTGATGAGCCAACGAGGAAAGCGACTCCGAAATTGGTTTTAAACCTTTTCTCCTTGACATACCCTAATAAGCTTAGTTATACTAATAAACGTCAATTTTTAGCGCATTTTTTTGTATTCTCGAAGGCGCCAAGTTAGCCGAACCATCCCGGATATGACAATTAGTTTCGTTTTGATGACGATTGCGGAACAAAAAAACAACAACACAAAACTTTTTTTTTTAATTCATTCCCACATCATCCAATTCGCGGACGGAAGATCTCAAACGAATCAATATGCTCGTCTTCGTCTACTTATTACTTGTTGCGGAAATAGGAATTTCTTGGAAAGGCGATGTGATGATCTGCTAACACACACTCACACACATACTGGTCAAGACGGAGCTGTGGATTGGCTGACTGGCTCGAACGGCCACCCCGACTCGGGTTGCTAATCCGTCTTTTGGCTGTTTTCAGCGACATTTCGCTTGAATTTAAGTTCGACTTTGTGTTTTTTCTTTTCCTCTCCTTCAAAACCGTATTGTTTTCATTGTAAAACAGACTTATTGTGTCCAAATCTATATAGCTTTTCAATTGAATTAACAAGCGAGCTATTTGTGACCATTTTTGGTCAATCAAATAGTTGACAAATCCCTCTCCCTCTCTTACTCTCTGTCTTACTCTCAATCAACCTCTCAATCTCTTATTCCCTCATTTTCTTTCAAAACTTTTTTACATCCACTCAACTCATATATTCTATTAAATAGCAACATATTAATTGATTTTATGAATATTTTATGAGAATTAAGTTTTAATTTTTGCATCTTTGGCCAACTTGCCCATTGCCCTCCCCTTTCATCTAAGCCCTGCCCCTCGTTTCCTTCTGCTGCTCTTTTTCTCCAACTTTCATCAAAATGACATCTTTTACATCATTATTTTAACATTGTGCCAGTGTGTTGACTAATGCAAAAAAACACACACAAAATTGGTCTTTACATAACCGCTTGCAGTCTTCCATATGCTTCTGCCTATTACACAACTTTTCCTTTTCCTTCTTTTATTTTTTTTTTTGCCAAAGAAAGAAATCATTGTCGTCGTTTGTCTCTCTACTGTCGTGCGCGTGTACGTCTCTGATGCCTCATCTGCCACACACACAAAACCTTCTATGGCCCCAGGCACTTTTTTTTTCCGTCTTCCTCTGCTTCATCTTCATTCGCGCTTCGTTTGTTTTGAGTAAACAACCCCCCCCCCTCTTCTTCTATCTAAACCTTCACCTGATGCTATTGCCCGGACCATCTCTATCTTCTCCTTTTATAACTTGCTTCGTCTTCAGAATTTTTCAGCAGTTTCCACTATTCCTCAGAGGCAAAAATATATTCGGCGAAATACAACTACTTGACGTCCTTCTCCTTTACTTGCTTATTTATTTACTTATCATAACATTCCTACCATTCGATTACGTTCAATTTCATCTCAACGATGACCATATTTGTCAACTTTTTTCCTTCAAAAACACTTTTTTTCCTCACCTCAACACTGCTACTGGCGTGTTAACTCTCATATCCAGATACAACCTCCTGTTTCTTCTCGTGGCTTACCATTTTGCTGTTGGTTGTTTCTAAGCGATAAAAAAACACATTGACTCAACTGCTTTTAGTCCGAAGTTCAATAGCCACTCAATGCCTCCATCTATTCACCTGCAACTTTAGAATACATCAGTTCCTTTAATCATTCACAACTTCCGACTAGATTTTTCGTTTGGACATGGACATGTACACCTCTGAGCGCTTTCGCAATTCTTTTACACGCCATCTCTAACCTATTCATGAATTGAGTATTAAGCTATAATCACTTAATGTTATGTGGCAAAGCTTTAGTTCACTGATGTCCTAAATCTCTTTCAAACGATCTATAACGATGTAAGCTTCTTAAACCTGCAATAGAATCTCCAAAATTAGACCTTCCATCAAATTATCTTTTGAGTCATTGGGATTTCGTCAATTTCGTTATCCATTTCAATGGCGTTTGACTGGCTACTCGCCAATAGATACACATAGACAGAACCTCAGATTTGTTTGTTGTTTATGCGCTAAGCTTTAGACATCATGCTGTATATAACATTAAGTATTTGCATTTGGTGCTTCTGGTGACCAGCCGGCAAAATTTTAACATTATAATTCTGAAAATCATTTCTGCCTTCGTAAAAAAAATTAGAATACGCAATGAAAGCAGCATACGTGAAGTCTGGGACGCGTAAAGTAGCTTCATTTATATTCTGACAGACATGATGATCGGTTGTTCTTTTTTCTCAATCAGCTATGCGCTCTTTAGATTATCTGTAGTCCTTTTGAGCTGAAAAAAAAATGAGAATCATTGAAGCATTTGACATGGCCACAAAATGACCACAAGTTCAGAAAAAAGTTTGATGGATGATGATATGATATAATAATTTCAAAAAATGCAAATGAACACAGCTCCTCGAAGTGTGTGTGGCGTGTGTGTGAGGTGTTTGTTTGTGATGTTCGCTTGTCCGTATTGTATACATCAAGCTGATTTTGGTCTTGGAGCGAAAATTTTTTTTTTGTCGTTCAAATTCAATTCAAGTGTTAAGCTATCAAATTACCAAATGTCTTTTTGTTAAATATATGATTGATTTTGATTGTCATATGGCTTTGTTTCTGCAATGTCAGATAGATATGCTGAACATCATGTATGTCAGGATATGACAAGATGTTTGAATCATCTGATGATGTCTGTGTGATAAGTTGATCTCCGATGATAATCATTCCTTCATCTCATTCATCAGGTTAAGCATTTATAGATATTATATATCGTTTTATAAAACTTAATGAATCAGTCATATCCGGAAGAAAAAATATGCCGGATTATGCTAATTATGCGTTGTATTCGATAACAATATGCTAATGAGATGTTAACGATGTTGTTCATAATGTATTATTATAATACTAATGATTAAGATTAGAACATGATATTGATTGCTTTTAGCTTTTCCATTCGAGAAGTAGACAGAGAAGGAGAGAATCACTTGAATCACTTATAAGGAGATGTTTGTAGCATTGATTTGTGAACTTCTGAGCCTCTCAATATGAGATTTATTGATTTTGGATGGTAAATTGTGGATGAAAAGATGTTCAGCTTCTTTCATCATCACCATTCAATGACTTGCCAGGAAATAGCATTGAGTAAAAGATAATTTATGCAATTATTATAATTTGTCTCATGTCTCAACAACTTGGATTTATTCCAAATATAAATATCCATTTTTGGTCATCTCTCTTCATTTTTCATATCCTTCGTTTGCTCTTTTTATACTCGGCTGTACTTCATTACGTTTACCTGCATGTGCGCTTGCTCTGTGCCCGCCTCCTAACTCTTCTCCACTTCTTAACGTTTCGACTAGTCAGCAGCAATGTCCACACCCACCTGGTGTTGGATGTCTTTGATACTTGATGAAGCTTATTCTCACTAATTCATGACTGTCTACTACTCATCGTCATTTATAGTACTTAAGTAGTAGTGGACACAGAGGATATTTGAAGAGGAAGATCCAGCTTGTTACCAAAATTGTTCCTTCCATATTCCATTTTCTTGCCTTGTCGTTTAACGGACTTGTAAAAGCGACTCCTTTTCGCAATGAGCATGACGGATATCGCTTGAGAGTATTGCAGCAACTCAGATGCTGAGAAGAGAAAAAGAGAGAAAGAAGAAGCAAGGGAGTTTCCAAAAAGAATATAGCGAGGATGAGATTCATGCGTGAGGTTAGAGCCTCAGACGATGCAACTGATTACTCTTGTGCGTCGATAGAAACTGAATTTTGCAACTTCTTTTCCTGTCCGGCCAGAGAAGTTTCTTCGTTCGCGTGAAACATTCGTCCCGCAACTCACAATACGTTTCGTGTTTTGATGATGAGCTTTCATGTTTTTTTACGTGATATCATCATATGTCGATTTCTCATCTTCTCCTCCTCTCCTTTTTTTTTCCATTTTTGGAATCTACGCGCTGATGAATGGTTGCATTTGCTTGTTCTCTCTCATTTAAGCAGGTACAATGAGGGAAACAGAGCGAAGGCGCGAAATAGAAGCTAAAGGATTGAGATTGAGAAAGAGAGATAGAGAGAGAGAGAACGGGGATTAGGGTATCATTTGTGGATTAGCTATATTGAGAATCAAGAGCACATCTTCGCATATTTCTTTTTATTTTCTCATGTTTTCTTCGACTTTCTGTTATGATGGATGATGTCTTGTTAAAAAGTTTTTTTTTTGTTATTTATCTTGTCTCTCTGCTCAGTCAAATGTTTGAAAAAGAATTTTCGTAAAGTAGTCTTTGAAAAGGAACAAAATTCAATTACAAAGGTACAAGTTGGAGATTTTTGATAAAAAACGGAATGTATTTCGTCTAAATCATATTATAAAACTCTTGAATGAACACAGCGCAGACAACATTCACCCCACCCCGGTTTTCGTCGTGTAACTCCCAGTCCAGAGATGAACGTGACATCTTGACTCGGTCTGTTCATCAAGACACTCGGCCATGTTGCCATGTGCCACCACACCAACATCAGTTCCATTTTTCGATCACATCTAATGATTTGATGAAATTTTTTTTTCTTTTCTTCATCTCTTACTCATTCGAACATCACCCACTTTGAACAGATGTTAAATTATGTGTGTTTGTGTGTGAATGTGTTTCTTGTGTTCCTCCTCGAAATTCATGAGTTCGCTTCGTGAACTTCTGCATTTGCCGGAAAGATTTGAGTTTCTGCCTTTGATTTCGAACAAGCAACAACAGCAGCACTTTCCTATCCCATATATGCTTTGTTTTAATGCAGCAGACGTATCTTTCTTTAAAAGTTTACAATTTGCTTCGTATTCAATACTAAATTGCTCTTTTCCATATTTAAAGCTGCTTACTCATACTTATTATTTCGATTTCTCTGTCCTTTCTGACAATTCCTATGTAGGAGCATTGCGTATTTGTTTCGCTCAAAGGTGATACTTCACCACTACTCTACCACATATCTGCATTTAAGAGGCGGTAGACCGCACATGGTGCTCAAAACGCAGAAAATTGAGTTCAAATTGACACAGCCTGAATGGCCTTATTAAAGATAGGAGAATGAGAAGCATGGAATTTAAGAAAAGAGTGAGTTAGAGAGGAAGAGAGACAAAGAGAGAGAGAGAGAGAGAGAGTGAAGGGATGAAATTGAAATTATTAAGAAAAAGCTGAACATGGATGAGATAGGAAGCTAGTGAAGAGAATGCGTCCAGAAGACGTCAGAACGCTTACATCTCTCCTCTTCGATGACCCTTCAATCAACAATCATTTTTGTTGTTATGAAAGTTCATGTGGAAGCTTGCGACAGCAAACTCTCGTTGTAACATTTGAAAAATTAATTTTTATTTGAATATTGTCTTTAAAAGCTTTTTTCATATTCATATCTAAATTTCCGTTGACGGACTTCGATTTTATTCGCTTCACTTGTTCTACCTTCTTAGTTGGCACAATCATGTAGCAACAATCTGCTCTTTTCATTTCATTTTTTTTTTCATTAAAATTTTGAGCTTTTATTTGAATTCAATTATTTCCACATTATTACATATTCCGATTTCTCACGTAACTTTACGTGAAATCATTGGAATATTCATCATTTTTCATTTTGACAGACGCATGGAGTGGTCGCATTCATTCGAGATGTGCTTTTTCTTATAATTTATATTAATAACATTATTATATATCGTTTATTTATGTTTATTATTATTATTTTTGTATTTTACAGTATATCAATGTACATCTATACAAATAGTTCCTAATATGGCACGGATAGATCCGTACAGTGCTTCATTGCGTGAAGAGCAGAAAGCAATTCTCAATGGGTTGTTAGGTATGTAATTGCCATTGTCATTTATCTTTTATTTGTTTATTTAAGGCATTATCTATGATAACTATGATACAACCAGACGTATACAAGCTTCTGTTGATAGTATTTATCGAATTACTGTCACTCTTTTAATTATAATTATCCTTCTTGTAATAGGATTGGTCTTCATTGCCTGCTTCGTCGGCTGTCGTAGGTACCAAAATGAAAAGTACGTTACTTCCTGTCTCGTTATCTCTTTCTCTCTCTTTCTCTCCTTTTTTTCGCTTTTCTATATTTATTTTTGTTACAGTCAAGTGCCGTTACATCCGCGAAAAGCCGCTCCAATCGAGATTTGATAATGATGGATCGAACAAAAAACGGCTTAATTTTTAAAGCTTTCATACATAAGAGCAAACTAGACGTTAAGGACGTTAAATTATTCGTGTGGAGGATACGCAATAGCGCGTACTATTTATTTCCCGCGTATTTCCCGCAATCTCTCGTGTTTCTCATCGTTTATAAATTTTGTATATTTTGTATTAATTTTTTATTTTTTTTCATAAATTTCGGATCTTCCAACGTTTTCTACTGCTTTGCTCGCAATGTACATGCTAATCTTTACATAGTTGTCGTTAATTATATAGAGAGATTAGCTAAATCAATCCAGCTGTTGAGGAGTTTGTTCCTTCTCTAATCATTTTCAATCCGTCTACTAACTGGTGTGTGCGTTCAAAATTTGAAAACTTTCATTTTTCCCTGCATTATATTGCTTCTGTAAGACCATTTTGTAGAATATTGGGTTCCGTGACTTGAGTTCAGTTAAAACTGGTGTAGTAGTTCTAATAACTCTAATTGTCTCCTGAGTCTCTTGCTCCTGGCTTAACTTCCGAGTTGAATTTCGATATTTCTCCCGAAACTTCTCTTTCCTCAACGATTACCCTCGAGTTGAGTGTTTTTCCACATGTATAGACTAGGTTGCTATGAAACAATTAGGGGAACTTTTCTTTATCTTTTGAAGTTCATGAACTTTCTTCGTCTCCAAGCTCACAACGAGAGGACGGTCCGAGATTTCTCAGCCTGTTATCGACGGCCTCTGGATCAACCTGGTGGTAAATATACTTCGCTTGCCGATCTTTCTGTATTTTTCTCAGAAATTCTATTTTCATAGTGTCATTGAAGTATTTGTTTCCTAAATCTCAATAAAAAATAGTCCTCTTCAGTTTTCTACGTTGCTTGTGCTTTCTCTTTTTGGCATCTCGAAACAGTGATTGTGGCTGAGGCGGCGGCATTTCGAGACATTCGTTTTGTGCTCTCGAAGTTTGTTAAAGACGGGCAACCTTTTCTCAAAAATGGTGACTGTCATTCGTTGCTATGTTAGTTTGCCACGAACTATGTGATCGGCATTTGAAACTCTGCTAAACTTTTTTAACTGCATGGGGACAGCCGTTTGCGGTCTATTCTCTCGTATCTTTTTCTTTCTCGTTCAGATTCATCCTATTTCTCTCAGCCTATCTCTTATTCTCTCTTACGTGCTTGCTCCTTTCTATCACTCTCTCTCTCTCAATAGACCCTCTGTCTCGACGGGAACTAACGAACAGACACACATACTTCCTACTGCTTGGCCAACAACAATCCTTAGTGTAAGCACTTTGATCTTATGCTTCTATCTGTATTAGGAAATTCAATAAATTATGAGTTTAATCATAGTTTCCAATTAGTCAGGACAGCTGTTGCGTAATACCTTCGTAATCTTTCGTAAGAATGACTGATTTTGCAATCGGAAACAGCAACATGCGGTTCATATTGCATTTTTTGTTCTTTGGAGACAGACACACCTCATTTTACTGTCCTATGATGTCACTTCTCAAACTTTCTCTGAAAACTTTCATTCTACAAGTTATTTTGTGGGTGAAGTGAAATTAACGATAGAACAGGGTCGCAGGATCAACTCCTTCCAAAGACTTCCATATGCAAGGGCAGTGAAGCAACAGTGGAAAGTCAGGCATTTGCCACGTTGCAATGAATGGGATCAACAGTTTTAAAATTCTCGTGCAAGCGAAAGCATTCCAGGACTCCTATGGATGAATGATGGAGTTTTTCTAGCTTGTATCTTTATCTTAAGCGATCTGTTAGGAGCCCAGTAAGTAAAGCGTCTTGAAGCGATTTTTCAAAATCTGACCGTTAGCGGCTAGTCTTTGAAGGAAAAAATAGCAAACGGAGGCAAAATCAAGTAAGATCATTATAGGTTCAGATGAAACGTTGTAATTAGAGTTATTTGTGAATTAAATTAACTTTAAAAAGGTACGAGTTAATCGAGTTAATCGATTTTTCCGATTAAAGTGAGAACTCTACACAGGATGACGCGTGGGCGTGGCCTATCAGGCGCGTCGCGGTCGCTCTCCCCTCGCGGCCGGGCATCTTCTTTACTGGAACCTGGTTCAATTCTTATTTCATATTCTCTAATTGACGTTTATCTTGTTTTTTGCGACATTTATCTTGAAGAACTGTCATTCATACCCTATATCAGCTGTTACGACCACCGAAATTACTTTCTCTCATTTTCATTCCTTTTATTTCGCGCTTTCAGTTTTTTTCTTTGCCTTCTCAAATTTCCGAAGTGCTCATGGATTTTAATGTTTCTCCTTTTCCAGACTTATTTGTTTAAAATTTAAAAAAGATAGAGCAAGATGTCTGTTTCGGAACCTGCGGATTCCGGTGGTATAGTTACCTCATTGAGCCAGGATCTGCAGGTAAGATGCCCTTTCCAACACATTTCCTGCAACATAATCTTTCAGGGGTTTGAAGATATGAGCACCGTAGGAGCCTGGGCTAAAATGATGGAAGAAGATGTCAGTTGCAGTGTAAGTCTTTTTCGTTGTATTTATGTTTCTTACGTTTCCTTCTTTAGCAAATGAACAGTACTATTGACGAAGAAGAGGAACCGGAACGTTCAGTTGAAACCGAAGGGAAAAAACTTCCTGATAGGCCTCCATTCTCTGTTCAAGTTAGCTTATATTCTTTACAATTTCGAACGGGTTTTTCATTCAGGTAACTAATGTTGCTTCTTCTTGTGATGAAATGGATGTGTATTTCGAGTTCGGAGGGGAGAAGAGAGTAAGTATGAAGTTCAATTTTTGAAATTACTGCTTTTCTGTAGATCAAGTGTATCAATGTTAATCCTGCTGCCGGTAAGGCTGACATTGAGTTTTTCGATAGGGAAGGTCTTCTTCACGCCATTCAGAAGAATGGAACAGAATTGTGCAATAAGAAATTGAAAGTAAGTTCCTTCGAATTGTTTTTCATATTCCCTTTCTTCATTATAGGTTTACGTGATTGATCATTCGAGAGAAAGAAGGCCGGCTCAGATTGACCGTTCCGATCGGACAAGTTCAGCGCGTGATTCGCGAGATAGTTATGGCGGAAGATCAAGCAGGGATCAACGTGATTATAGAGTTTGTGTCTTTTTTTTGTATTTTTCATCATTTTATTGAATTATAGGAACAATTTCATCGGGGTAGTCATCATGGCAGTCAAAACTCCATTTACAGTGATGACCCAAGGTAAGTGTTTCCGGAAGTTGTGTGTATACGTCATTTCCGTTTCAGATCATACAATAATCAGAGGAACAATTACGCAACTTTACCTCGACATTCAAGTTGCTAACTTTTTTTGTTCTAAACTTCATTGTTTGTTTTAGCTGGTGGAAGAGGTGGTAGGCATCATGATGATCGATATGGACAAAGCTTCCGGGGGGGACCAAACTACGTACTTTTCAGATCCCTTTGAATCATTTAATCGGATATTTACTTGCAGAACGCTAGGGGCGGCTATCAAAACCGTGGTGGTGGCGGCGGTGGTGGATACAGACATTCTATGGATCGTCCAAGACAGTCTACCAATGAATACAAACGTAGTGATAGTGGTTACGAGTATGAGAAGCCTGCTCCAATTAAGTATGAGGATTGAAATCTCTTTGTCTACTAAATCATTTTTTAGTCGATCGCGAACTGAGTCAACAACTTCGGAACAAGCAGAACGTCGACGCTTAGAACTTACATCTAGGAATTCTTCGCGGTTGAGCATAAACACGTTTGAAGATGAACGAGTAAGCGAATGAGAATAAGTTTTTGTTCATCAAATGTTTTTTTAAGCCTCAACCTGTTAAAAAGCCAAGTTCTCGCGACATATTTGGAGATGCCAAGCCAGTCGATACCGCCGACAAAATACGAGAAATTGAAGAAAAACAAGAGAGAGAAAAGAAGATTGCCGCAGAGCGAGAAAGAGAACGGGTAAGTAGAGATTCAACTTTTTGAACTTCAACGAAGTATATCTAGGTTGCTCGCGAAAAAGAAAGAGAGAGAGAAGTTGTTCATCCAAGTTCATCTCAACAGCAGCAGCAGCAAAATCATTTTGTCCCTCCAGCTCCAGGTTTTGATCCAAGTAAACCTCCTCCACATAATCACGGGGTATGATGCATATGTTAACTTTCTTCCTATAATTTTCTCATTTGCAGTATATGCGGGGTCCAAAAATACCTCAACAGGTACACCAAGTACCAATCGTCAACCAACCTCCTAGGTTTGACGGTTCCGTAGGATCAGTTGCGTAAGTCACCACTTCATCTTCAAGTTTTCATTTTCTTTTTATGTTTTATAGAATTATGAAACGGGATGATAGGCAAAAAGAAAAAGTTAATGAACTCGAAACTAAAGATCATAACGAGAATCATAATGTGGGTTTGCTTCCAACTCCTCTCTCTCTATGTTTTTCTTCAGAACCTTGAACCTCGAAATTCGAGTGAGAATTTAGTGAAAAAGGAGGAGCGCGTAGCGTCATCAGCTTCAAGCTCTAATGAAAACCAGGGAGCAGCCAAGAAGAGTGTAATTTCTTATTGAATTTCTGGCATTTATTGTTATTTTCTGGTTTCAGACACATGTTAGGACATTCACTCGAACTCTACAAAAGAGTGCCACGTCTGATCAAATCAACGAGAACAGGTGAGTCAAAACTTTGTCCCAATAGCTAGTAATTCCAAGTTGCTTGGAGTGATCCTAGAACCCACTGACACATAAGAATGATATATCGAGTATTAAACAAAAGAAAGTGATAGGTTTCTTTTCAAAAAATAAATTTTATGGAGTTTCATAAGTATATATATGTTTGTATATGGCCTTGACGATATAGCACAAAAAGAAAGAAAGTGTCGAGTGAGTCAATTTTCAAATTTTTCATTTTTTTTGATTTTACCAACAAACGTCAGAGGATTTATGTCTCTGTATGCAAATCGTGAAACTCTGAAACCGCTTCCTATGTTTATTTTGTGTGTGTTATGTTCCTCATGAGGTTTCCCTTTCCTGTGTTTCAACCACAGCTGCCCTGTTTCGAATCTAGTTCACGTTGTTTTTGAAGATCTTACCGTGGCGGTAGAGGTGGAGGACGTGGTCGAGGTGGACATCAAGGTCGTGGCAGCATTCCCTCGGATAGAAGAAGCAGTTACTCAAGTCAACAAGATGTTTCTCGTGATAAGATAGAAGTGAACGCGCCTGTACATAAACCAGAGAAGAAGGTTTGTGAATACGGATTTTTCTTTTCTGATTTTTTGTTTGAAGGAACATCATAGCTCGCAAGTTTCGCTAAGAAGTAATCGGGGAAATCATAAACGCCATGATCGGGAAGGCAGAGGAGGTTATTATGGAAAGGTTTGTTATCTTGTTTTCGTCCCAGTCAAACTTTATCATTTTAGGATAGGCAACACAAAGAAGAAGGAAAACCACCAAGAGATGACACACGGCAAGGCAAGGATCATAACAAGTCCAAGTCTGACGTGCCTAAGGATGTGAAGAGTGAAGAGGTTTTTATTATTTTCATAAAGTTGTTTTTGATTGGATATGATTTTTAGCAGAAACCTCAAAACGCTACTCAACACGTGCAAGAATCGAAAGAACGACCACACAAGGAAAGCCAGAAACCACCCGCAGTTCCTGTAGCTGTTCTGGATTTATCGGCTTCGAATGAAGACAGTAATAATAAGAAGAAAGACAAAAAGAAAGTGAAGGTGAGCTTCCTTATCAGAGTTTATCACCTTCAAGTGTTCATTTACAGAAGGAGTCAGCAAAGGTTGGGAAGAGTTTGAAAGGCAACAAGTTCGCTGCTTTAGCCAACGTGGATGATTGAAGTGAGGACTACTGTGTATTCCACGAACCGAAAAATTTTGCAGCTTTGTAAAAGAAGTTCACCACCGGATTCTGGTCCGGCTCAACAGCCTCGACCATCAATGTCGGACTGATGACTCGATTGGAACGGTTAGCAAAGCCTTTTAATTCGCTATTTCCGTATGCTTCCATGGTATATTCATCCAGGCACATCATACCATCCCAGTACAAACTATGTTTAACCTTTCGGATACTTCTTGCTTATCTTCTAGTTTATATGAACAGTCCGCTCTATTTGCTGGGTCTCAGGCGTCGGATGCCAGATCTGCAGCTTTTTCATTCCTCTTTACCTGTCGACTCTATCTGTGGCCTTGCTTCAAATTCAGGCAAAAGAGCTCACCTGTTTTATACGCGTTTTCCATCTTTTTTTCTCGACTGCCATCACCAACTTCTAAAAGTAACTGATCTTATCCTTTTCTTTGAGTCTTTGTCTTATTATCCTCTGACACATGGTGATATCAGCCATTTTTATTCGTTGTTCTCTCACACGAAAGTGTAACTGCCTTAGCTAGGGACGCTACGTATCTTAGTCAGCACCTCACCTTTTTTGTTTTCCGCACACACTCAAATAGTTTATTTATTAGACATTAGTTATACAACTAGAGGAACTCATCCACCAACACAATTCTTCTTCTCGCACTCCTATCACGCAACTTAGCTATAATTCCTTTTTATAGTAACTCAGGGTTTCGGTTGCGCGATAGTTCCCCTCCTCATCATCTCTCTACACAATATGCTCTTCTCTCTACGTTTTCTCTCTCTAACGACAGGAGGTCATTTTCTCTTTTCCTAATCAGCTTGCCGATTTCCTTGTTGTTCATCGCTTTTGTATCTCTTACCATAACCCTCCAATTTCCTGGTCAAACTTCTGTCGCATTGTTAGCTTTAGGTTTGCATTTCGTTGTTGTTGTTGTAAGCCAAAGGCAGTCCACCTGGATCAAGTCAATTATCCCCGGTACTTTCCACACATTTCTATATTGGGTGTTAGAATAAGTTCGTGGTCCTCTCTCACTCTAGAACATCTTTGTCTTAGTTTAAATTAGAATAAACCCAGGCCCCATTAAGGGGTACCCGCCAATCTAAACGTTTTTAAATATTAAAACAAATCCGACACTAACGAAATGTTTTTTCTCGGTTTTAGCCCAAAGTTAGCTTTTCATAGTTTCCCACTTCTGTGTGGGTAAGTGCTGTCAGCCAGTCAGCCTACACAAAACGGTTTGCACGAACTCTCTGCCACCCAATGTGTAATGTTATTTGTGTATAGATTCCATCTCTCTTATTGCTTGCTCGGTTTGCACCTTTTCCAAATCAGGCAATCTTCAGTCAATCAGTATGCTCCTATTCCAGCTTTTAAGTTTTCTTTACTACACTTGCTTTTTTAAGCCGTCAGCAGTTAATCATCCTTGAGGGAATTGTAATTTTCAGATAATTATGCATCCACCACCTATCATGTTAAACTATATTAAGACATTTTAAACTCGTTTTCGTTTTATATGGCACTTTTTATTAATTTTGTTATTGGTTATTACAATTATTAACAAGTTTTTTTCCAAATACAGATATATCTATGCTTTGTCTTTTGATTCTGTCGTGCTCGTTGTTTCAGTCGTCGTTGATGATGCTGCTGCTGCAGCTGCTGCTGTCTCTCCCTCATCCATATACTCCACCAATTCCACTTCGGTATCATCGGCTCTGGTTATTTTTCTTCGAGCTGAAAGTGTTCTGATTGAACCTCAATTCTGGCACATTCACTTACTTCCTCCGGAGCTCTTCTTCCTGTCTGATACAGTCAGCACTTCATCACCATCTAAATACTCTACTTCCGCACTGGCTGGAATATTCAGAAGTCTTTTCTGTTCTTGGATAATCCTCCGGCGTTCCTCGGCATCCTCGACTGGATGACTTCCTATCTCATTACCCTTCTCATCAACTTCGACAGCGATAACTTCGTACTCAACATCATCATTTGATGTTGTTGGTGCGTCAGTCTGAAAGGAAACAGAGCGTTTGAAGTGCATAATGTTTACATGAAAGTTATGATTGATGTGGTGCGAAAATGTGATTTAAAAAGATTAGGTGAAAACGTGACAAACGGTTAGTGTGGTTGATGTGACTGTCGTCTGCAACAGCTCCTCCTCTTCTTCGGTCCCTGAGCCTTCAGGTTCTAGAAGATCCAACAAATTGTCAATAGAAGCTGATTGTTTTGGTGATAACGTCGGTGCATCCGTTGGTTCTGTCGTAATTTCAACTGATGATGTGGATTGTGGTTTTGTCGTGGCGGTTGTGCTGCCGTTTGTTGACAACAAATCTGTTTGTAAAGTTGTTAATTCCGTTGTAAATGCGGTCGACTCTGAATCACGCGCATCGGTCACACTTTCTGTAGAAACCGATGCAGCTCCTATAGGGTCTATGGTCGAAATCTCTGTTGGCTGTTCAGTGAGATTCGTAGTGATAGTAGAAGTGGAAGGTGCTTCGGTGGTTGTTTCAGTCGTCGTTGATGCTGATTCTATTTCAATTATATCTTTTGGTGGAAGTAGTTTAAGAGGTGGTGACGAACTTTCTTGAACGACAGATGGCTCAGTAGACAAGATCAAAGTTTCTCTAGAATTATCCTCGGAAGATTCATCTAGAACAATAGCTTCTCTTAGTGGTTCCGGAGTTATTTTATGATTTTCTTCGACTTTGAACTCTTCAGTCGTGGCGAATTCATTTGAATCGGTCGAGATGGACCCGATTGACATAGTGGATGAAATATTGTGTTTCCAATGATGCCATGGGTTTGCGGGTTTTCTCGACGTGCTGTCTTCTTCTGGTATAATTATCGTTGTGGAAGCTGTAGTCGTGGTTGTTAGCGGTGCAGTTGGTTTGAAAGCTTTGGGTCTTTTGGAAGGCAGAAACTTGAGTTTCAGAGCCGTTTTTATTGGTTGGTTTATTGCCTGATTATCATTCTCTATTTCATTCTGAGTGGGTATGCCATGTACCTAAGATCAAAAATATTTAATTGATTCCCTTATTAGCATATAAGACTCTCTGTGTTCACGTGAAAACGCACAAGTCTAAATTGCAGTCACGACATTTTCACGTGGATTTTATTTTCATCCCATGCTACGCTCAAAACGGTTGTATTTTGCTGCCTCTCGACTTCTCACGTACTCTCAAGATACGATGCTAATGTGGGGTGTGAAAAAGAATTTTGCTGACGCGTTCTCCAAACTTCTCGCGGTATGTATCGTGATTGGTATGTATTACCTTTGCAAGGCGTGAAGGATTTCTAAATGCAGGTGCTTTGTGCCTAGTGATTTGAGAATCATCCTGAAAGGGTAACTACAACGAATGATCAAGCATGCTGAGAACAGTGTTAGCATATATATATATAGCAAAGACAGTATGAATGATATATATAGTAACCTGTGCCGTTGTGGGTTCTGATACTGTGGAAGTGGATGACGTAGTTGTTGTGCTGCTGATTGGTGGTGAAGAAGTGCTTGTGGTGGCCGTTGTTGAGTGTACTGTTGATGTCTGTAAACAGCATGCACTACGAATACGGAAAAGGGAATAAAAATGGATTTTAAATGTTTAAAATTCAAAAAAGTGATTTGCATGCAAAAGAACACAAACAGAAGCTGCTGCTAACTAAGGATAGATGAAGATGGCAGGCAATCAAGTCAATACATCTTTTTAAATTTCATTTATTAAGGAATTATATACAGACTTTCGATATAGTTTCTACCATTGTGTTTGATTTGCTTTGTTTTCTTTTTAACAAATTGCTATTCTTTTCTTCATTTTTTTTTGAAACTTTTTTTGATTTACGAAGAGAGAGAGTGAGAGAGAGAGCGAGAGAGAGAGAGAGCAAAAGAGAGAGAGAGAGAAAGAGAGGAGAGAGAGCAAGAGAGAGAGAGAGAAGCAAAGAGATGGAGAAAAAATATGTAAAATATATATGAAAATAATGTAAAATATGCTTAATGCGTCACCACAGCTCGTTGAAGATGGCTGTTAATCAGTTGCCTTACTTTCATTTCATCTCTCGATATCTCAGCTTCTTCCATTGCCACTGGTAATGAGGAGACATATTTACGAATTTCATGCCTAAATATATCTCATTTGCATATCTATTGATTTCACGCTTCTGGAGCATTCTCAGTTTTCTATTTGTTTATGCTAATGATGACGTCATCATCTCCATCTCATAGATAGTATTTCACATTTTCAAGCATAAAATACGTTATGAGCGGTTGGCAAGAAAATTTTTTTGTTGAAATAATCAAGCTTCCCATAGATATGTTTTCAGCTTTGAAAAATATAATTGAAAAAGTGTTTTTGATCATAGCGGCTGGAGAGGAGACGTCATCATCGGAAACAAAAATACAAATTGATGAAAGCAAATTTTTGATGAGAATATTTTCGTAGATTGTATCCGTCTACACTACTTACCGGAAGTCAACTATTTCGGCTGGAATAAGTTCTCCGGAATGATCAACATCAACTTTATCGAAGAATTTGCGGGTGATTTCCAATGGCACTCCATATTTGGTTTCAATCAGCTGAGCTAATTCATCCAGTGTCACAATCTTGTCGCCGTTCGTATCAAACTCCTTTAATGTGTTAATGTATGGATTGGAGATGGAGCATGAGATCCGAATCATATACAAAAGATCATTATGGGCTTACCTTGAAATGATCTGTTGCAAATTTGATGGCTGATAATCGAACCAATCGAATGAAGTCAGCCAGCTCAACCTTATCCAACTTTCCGCTCTTGTTCTGTTAGTTAGTTGATCATAGATGAGACTGCCTAACATCCGGCTTACCTGGTCTGCTAATGTGAAGAGAGCTTTCGTTTCGAACTCTTCCAAATCGTCCTCTCGTTTAGTCTTTTCAGATGCTTCTTCAATACTTATTAATCCATCTCCATCAAAGTCAGCTTCCTACAGAAAACTATATAATACGAACTATTTCCATAATTTTATACCTTCAAAATAGGAACTGCATCACTAACTGCTCGATTACGAATGACAGAGCGGAAGCCGGCGAATTCAACAGTATCCAATTGTCCATCTTCATTTTCATCCGCTTGATCAAAGAATGGAGCGAGAACCTTGAACAGGAAATTGAAAATTATTTTTTAATTGCCCTCATTCTTCTTTCTCTTTTTTTTTTGTTCATGCTAATGAGAGCTATTGTTCTCTTACAGTTTCATCAAATCCATAATGCTCAAAAGCAATTCGTTTAGCTTCATCCAACTTCAATGTGCCACTTCCATCAGCATCAACAACCTGGGAAACGAGATGAGAAAATAAGTTTTTGTTTTCTCCCATAATTGCTTTCGAACTTGTGAAAACGTACATGGAGAGGAGATACAATAATTACCTTCAAGGCTTTCTTGCTTGTATCGATGGCTCGAGCTCGTACAATTCTCTCAAAATCTGCAAATTCGGGAGCATTCAGCTCACCGTCTTGATTGTCGTCGACGGAAGCGACCATCGCAGCGACATCTCCTGCAAGATGATTGAGAAGTGACGACAGATTGTTCACAATGGGCTGCGTGAATTTTAAATTGTCTTTTAAAACTTTCAAAGACAAAAGATTGAAGACATGCGAAATTTTCCGGTAAAAATTCCGTTCAACACATTTTGTCGGTCGCTCTCGTTTTCATGACGATGGCGTCATGGGCTCAGTAAAGGTTCGAAGTTCATAAATCTCACCTGGTCCGATGCCTTCTTGCTCAAAAGCGATGGCTTGTGCTTCTTCCAATGAAATATGGTTGTCTTCATTTACATCAGCATACTGTAATTACTTTTCGTCGATTCAAGTGCTTGAACGAAATCACCTTCATTATTTGGCGACTCAAGCGAATGCTCATGCCACGTACACGACGACGCAATTTAGCGAAGTCGGCTGCATCAAGTTGAGCTTTTGGATCTGGATTTACAAGCTTCCATATACGCTCAACATCACGCGATCCTATAATTCCATTTTAATTTTGAAAGTTTAAGAATAGCGAAAGAATACCAATTCCGTATTCACGCAACAGATAAGCCTGCGCTTCTGGTAATGAGAGGCGGCGATTATGATCAAGATCAACTGTCTAAAAGCAATCACTTGTGATGAAATACATTAGCTGAGCCTATACTTGAAGATAATGCTGAGCAGCATTTTCAGCTTTTTCGATGACCAATGGCCGAATGTTGTTGAATTCATCGGAAGTCAGGAAATTGTCGCCATCGGTATCAACCTATAGACTATAGACATGAGAAGGAAGACAGGAGCAACCGATCAACACGTTCATCACACGGAAATGAAATTTTGTTGAACACAAAAAATATTTACGTGGAACGTTTAATTGTCACGTTAATTGTGAGGATGAGCTAGAGGAAGAGAGGAACGAGCGAAAACAAACAAACTTTTCGGAACATATCCTTCACGACGGTGCCGGATAGGCCGTGATGTACAAATGCTGCATACTGAACTTCTTGTAAATTCAGATGACCATCTCCATCGATGTCGACAGTACGATCAAGTGTTTTCAAGTTTTCAGCATTTGCTGAGTCTGAAGAACATATGTAACTCTGTTACGTCATGTTTTGAAAGCTAATTCGATTAGTGAAAAATGTAAATGTGCTGTTTAAAAATAGTTTTGATGTTAAAAAAAGTTCTCATGGAAAACGACAGAAAAATGTTTTCAAATGCTAAAAACACGTGCAGTCATAGTTTCTTAATGTATTTCGTGGAATAAACCTGGTGTGGGAGTAGCGTGATCCGGGTTTACGGTAGTGACGAGTGGCTCGACGAAACTTTGTGATATGATAGAAGAAGAATGATGTGAAGAAGGAAATGAGAAGGACGAAGGTGATAGTTGTAGTGGGCGAACAAATGCTAGAAGTGCGTTTATGAGAAATCATGAATGATAGAAGATGGGTATTAATACTTATCAAGCAAGCAAGCAACCAACCAACCAATGTAAGGGAATTAATCTCAGCGACTACAAAGTGCGTGATTATATCTATCTAGTACCACATTAAGCTGATGCGTGTGCGTGTGTTTCGGATGAAAACAGATGAAGACGAAGAAGATCATAAAAGCGAAATCGTTGATTCGCTTTTTTGAAATCAAAATGATGTGCCGCAATGTAATAGACGTGCAAGTTCATGAAAAGAGCATATGCTCTCGCGTAAACAACGTGCATGAGTTAAATGATGTGATAGATGTCCGAGATGATAATAAGTTGAACTTGAGTCGAAAGAAGAAGAAGAAGCATGAACGAGGTAGCAAAATAAGGAAGTGACGACTATGATGCAGGACAAGATACAATAGACAGACTTACGCGTGAAACGTTCATCAGGCTCTATGCGTGGATAAAAAAAGCGATCTATGACAGATCGTATTTCATCTGAATCATTAATGTTAGTTAAAAGTTAGTTATATGGATTATAACGTATAATTAACATAAATTAACATATATAGTTAATTTTATAAGGAAATGTAAACATACCAGTTGCTTGTCTTTCTAATCGTGGAAAGGCAACTGTTGACGTCAGCAACGTCGTTATAAGAATGAAAATTAGCATTCTGAAAGTAATCCAAAGATAGACATGAAAGACGATGATGAACGGATGTGATGATCATGTAGAAGAAGAAGAAGAACATGAAGAACATGAAGAAGACGAAATGAAGAAAAGGTATGAAGAAAACATGGAAAACAGATGAATGATGGGAAAATCTTAGTGTTGAGCATGAAGATGCTTAATTGCTTCTCCACTGTTGGATTATTCATTTGATGGCTCAACTTTTTCGAAACATAATTTGTAAATCACTTAATACGTAGCCATATTTGAGAAGCTCTGTCTGAGATTCTCAAACGATTCCATAATTGCACACAAAAAAAGCGATGGAATAATTTGTTTCGAACGGAAAGCCATGACACCTTCAGACGAATGGCCAGACGTCCATGAATAGCTGTCGAGGAGATGTCACTGAGGTTTCAAAGTTTGAGAGATAAAGCTCAGCCAAACCTTTTCCTCTTTGGCTTTTTCCGGCCAGCTCGGCTTTCCCCCTCTTATTTCTGTCCTGTCTCCCAGATAGGAGGGGAAGAAGAGATAGACAGAGAGAGAGAGAGAGAGAGAGAGAGAGAGAGGGAGAGCGAGAGTAAGAGGTAGAGAGATAGAAACCGGAGGGAAAGGAAAGGGAGGGGTATTGTCTTTTGGATGAAGCAGTTGCTCATATTCTTTTGAAAAAAAGGATTTTTTGAAACCAATTATAATATCTATACGTATATAGTAAAGAAAATATTCCCATGAAAGAGAAACGTAACAGAATTGAGATATAAGAGTGATGATGAGAGAGAATCTCAGAGAGAGAGAGAGAGAGAGAGGTAAAGAGATAGAGGGAGATGCATGTATAGGAGAAGCTGGGAGGATAGTCGACGTCACAATTCCTCAAAATTAATGTTTTGTCATTTTATTTAATTGCTATTTATAGTAATAGAATGCATTTATAAAATACAAACTGTACTTGCAATGAGAAGGCCGAAAGTACATTTTCATTTGAATTAGAGCAGTTTACTTGTGTGACAACAACAGGAAAAAAGCATATTCAAAGCTTCTGCCTACTACCCCCTCAGGCAATCTTAGATTCCTTCCGAAATGGCTTTAAAGGTGGGGTATGTGTGTGTGTGTGTGTGTGTATGGAAGTGATAATTAGAATGTTTAAAGATGGAATTCATATAATTTCTGATGTTCCACCTCTACTCTTCACTCTCCCCTCCTCCTCTCTTTGATCAGAATGAAGAGAGAGAGAGAGAGGGATGAAGGACATATACATATCTAGAAAGAGAGAGAAAGAGATTGAGAGGTTGATGAAGAGTCAAATGAATGTATGAAAGACAACAAGAGAGAGAGAGGATGGAAGATGTGAAATGAGGGAATCTTAAGAGGGAAATGATAAGAAGAGAGATGAAGCTGAATATTATTTTTCCTGCTTCATCTTACTAAATAAGAATTTAAAGACAAAGTTTCAAAGAATTTTAATTTGAGAAAGGAAGGATTAAAAGTAGTCAAGTAGGTTATGAAGGTGATGATGAGAACTAAATGAAATGATAATGATAATGAAATGGAAGATACAAACCAGGGAGAGAGAGACTTCTCAGAGAAAGAGACTTCTAAGGGAGAGAGAGAGAGAGAGAGAAGGAAAGGCTGGAAATGGGTCAAATTGACTAACATAGATAAGTATTTGGAATCTGAAATACGACTGCAAGAGATGAATGTTTTCTGAGAAGATGAAGAAGAATTGAAAAAAAAAATTTTTTTTTTTAATTCCAGAAATGAAGAAGCGGAAGAGATAAGCCTGAGACAGATTTACATCAGCTTCATCATGGCCTAACTCTTTAGATTGTTTAAGCTTTTTTCCATTTACGTTAAAAATAGGTTTGAATGCATATTAACGAAAGAGAGATAAGATGTTAAGGAGAGAGATAGAGAGAGAGAGACAAAGAATGATGGGAGGGAAGAAGGGAAAAAGAATTATAAGAGATAGAGGTGAAATGTTTTTTTGTTCACTCCATAATATAAAAAAAGATTTATTTGGAAATAAAAAGCGAAGGCGTTGGGATAGGATGAAGAAGGAGGAGAGATAGATAGACAGAGAGAGAGAAGAATAGAGAGAGAGAGAGAAAGAGGGAGTGGTGGGGGGGGGGGTTGGGTATGAGAAATACGAAGACGCTCTTTCATTCAGAAAAATGGAGAATGTCGTCGTCGTCGTCGTTGTCGTCGACGATGAAGAAGTGACGATGATGTCTCGTTGATGTTATGTTGAAGTAAATGATTGGAATTGCAAAATAAGTCAGATTGCATGATCTATTAACGCTTAACTATATATCATATAGTTAGTTATTTATATGAGAAAAGCTTTGAAGAAATAGAAGAAAACGGAAAAACTCCTTTTCTCCTCCGCGGAGATTTTCAACAAAACATTTTCGTTTCTCCTCTTCTACTCCTTCATCATCATCATCATCATCATCGTCATCATCTTCTGTTGGGTAACTGCTTCTGATGTATATGTGTGTATGTGTGTATATGTCTGTTTGTTGAAGAAAATTAAAATTGGACGATAATTTTCATTTTTTTTGTTCTCCCCTTACTGCTTCAGTATTCTCCTCTCTTCACTCTCCCACACTGAAAGAGAAGAAGCTTGAAGCTAAAGCTGAAGAGCTCTGTGTGTGTGTGTGTGTATATATATATGTATGTGTGTGGTTGTTATTGAAAAATAAGAAAAAAGAAACATTTTTGTTTCTTTTTTTCCTTCTTCTCATCTTACACAGAGAATATGTGATTTATGAAGACGATGTCATTTCGTTAGTTAAGAAGCTTTCAAAGAAGGAAGTTATTGGTCTCGAACGGATTTAATGTAAAAGAAGATCTGTCGTTGAATTGTGTGTTAGATTAAATGAAAGGAATACAAGTGATAATATCCGATCAAATGAGAAATGTGTTCTCGTTCTCTCTCTCTCTTTATACATCTAGAACTCTCGTTATCAGTCTCTCTCTCTCTATGTTCTTCATCGCCCTCTCTCTCTCTCACACTCTTTATCAATATCTCTCTCTATTCATTTCATTTTTTCCCTTTCTCTTCCATATACATGCGAAAGGTAACCTAGATTGATTCGTCGTCGACCTCCTGAAGAGAAATGGAGGAATTGGGTAATTACTTCTATCCACTCTTCTAAACGATAGTGATTGAAATACGAAGAGAAAGTTATGAATTGTCGATCTTTCTTCTCTTCTGTTTCATCAGCTTCTTCCCGTATACCGTAATCCTCTTTCTATCAACTAACTCTCTCTCTCTCTATCTCTCTATCTCTCTCTCTATACATAGTATGTGTGTATATCATTGTGAAATGATTACATTGTCATAGTCAACCGTTCTGTATGCTTGTGCTCAATGACAATAGACATCTAATTTGACGTGTTAACACATTCTGCTGATGCTGCTACTGCTGCTGCACGTGAAACAGCGACGTGTGTGACGTGTGACGTGTCATTCAAATCAAAATTATTCAAATTTGTATAATATTTATAATACACGATATTTACATAGCAAAAACATATCTTTTCATCACATATATATATATATCTCATATCATAATGAATAACAGAGAAAAAAAGAATTTTTGAGCAAAAAAAATTAGAAAAAATAAAAAAAAAAATTTAAAAATCTGAAGCCCGCAATGCCTGCCAACAACGATTTGAGACACAGGAAGGGAGGGAGACCAACTGACAACGATGATGATAATGATGGTGATGACGACGACAACGACGACGTCGACATACTGCACAATCAACTCCACACATCAGCAGATGAAGCTGGATGGATGAAAACTCATTGTCAGATCAGTGTAGTAACCGCTTTTACAAGTGATTGATGTCCTTTATATGGTTAGATAAGGTATTATGGTTAATGAGAAAGATGTGTGGTCATTTGAATTATGTTATAGATGATGTGATATGGATTCATATTAGAGTTAAAGCTTATCAGAATGATGCTTATGTTCACTTCTTCTAAGATATCATCATCTCTCAATGGTGATGATGATGGTGTTGGAAGAGAGACAATTACTTTCCGAAGCCGATTCCGGTTGATCGTCGACGACGTGGTCTCTCAATGCTACATGGAGCTTCAGATGAATCACTTAAAGAGTATAATGTATTAACAACAACAAAAGAATTGTTGAAACCTTTGAACGTCACTTCGACTGCCTGGATAGCTGACCGTCACAGATGCGCTCACTAATCCCTTAGATGGAGGAAATACTCTGAAACATCATGTGTGTGTGTATGTGATGTGTGTTACCATTGGAAAGCCTTATACGAAAATAATCTATTTTCAGTGTTCGTCACTTGCAGAAAAATTTAAATATTCAAAAATCACCTGAATGGAGTGGTCGGTGATACGAGATCAGAAGCTGGTGAAGGGCTATTACCTCCATGAGATGCTCGACGTCTTTGTTGAGCAGTTGCCATTGCATCTCGTAAGCGATAAGCTCTCAGCTAAAAGTTTTTTCAATCAATATCAAAGAATTGAAATATATAATATCTTACTTGACTACTTAAATGGGCAACAGTTTGATTTCTGTCATTCATTTCAGATGTTAACTGTCGTATACGTTCACCCTATAAGGTATTGATAGAGTTGATGATGTCATTACATCCTTCTATACCTGCAGATGTATCTGCTCTTGTAACTTCAGTATAGTTGCTGTGACTGTCTTTTCAATATTCTGCACTTGATCCTCTTTACCAATGATCTTCTTCAATAATGATCAATTGATGAGATTAATGAGCAATGATGATGTTACAGTACCTCTTCAAGCATACGTATTGCTTCTTCTTGTTGTGAAATAGTTTTTTCAAGTTCCGTATGATCACAGATGGAGACAGATTCAGTGCCAGTTACCAAAAGCTTATGTTTTGCATCTGAAAAATGAGTAAAACATCATTTGAATGATTAACAGAGGGTGTCTAAGTAAGGAGAGAGAGGGTATGTGTCTATACAGAGAGAGAGAGAGAAATGGATTGAGATGGTAGATGAAGGAGGTATGAAAGGTCGTCGAACCTCTTAATTGATGTCCTAATCGCTCAATTTCGCTATGTAACCCTTTAAGCATATTGGAACTTTCTTGTTGCAAGAATGTTATTTGAGCCTTAAATGAATTAAATGAGATAAAAAACATTTTCGAAAACTGAATATGCTAATGAACCTTTTCGTGTTTTCGCCACTGCTCGTCTCGTTCACGTAAAGCTGCACGCAGACGATCTTCGAGATTATCAGATGAAGCCTATAAAGTAAAATTAAAGTACAACATTTTTTCAAATTAAAATTGTGTTGAAGATGGAAGAGAATGACAATCTAGAAGTGAAAGTACGATGTGGGCTAGGTGCGATACAGATAAAGAGAGAGAGAATGAGCATGAGAGAGAGAAAGAGAGAAAGAGGATAGACATGAACTATCCAGACGACAGCTTCATCTGTTGGTGTATATGATTCAACATCATCTCAGACGTCTCCATTCCACACATCATCTACATGACATAATGGAATTATAAATTTCATTTTTTCGTTTTTAGTTCACTTTTTGCTGAACAACAACACATACACAGATAGATAGAGAGAGAATGAGTGAATGAGAGAAGGGGATGAGTATGAGGATTACAAAAGACACATGTGACCACAGCTGTGGACAGCAGACCGCACAGGACTCTCGTGAGATCATTTGAGGATATCATGCTTAACAACAAGAGTGAGAGTAAGATAAGAATGTGAGAAGATATAATGAGAAGAGGACAAGAAATGATATTGTTTGAATGACAATGATGTTTCCTTATTGTGTACGGTGATGTTGAACAACATGTTGTTCTTGCTTCATCCCCTCATTTCATTCCGTTCTCTTCTTGCTCTTCCTGAAAGTTCAGTAAGGGGCAATACAAGCACAGGATGTATGGAACAAGCAAATGAGAGAGAGAGAGAGAGGAGGAAAGAGTGTGAAATGAGCAAAAACAGAATGATCACACATGGACAATGAGCTAGAGAAGGCAACATCATAGAGATACATACAAGTAGCATCACAAGAAAAAGCTTTTTTCAGTCATTCAGCTTACAAGACAAATTTTTTTTTTCAGTTATCTCACAAAGCTTGAAATGTGCCGGAGATATTCTTCAGCTTTTAACAACTGAAAATGAAAAGTCCGAAGAGCAAATGAAGAACAACTGTCTTTTAGAGATTTGTAATGTGGAGAATGTGGCAGACAGTGTTGAGAGAGAGAGCAAGCAAGATGTGAATGGAAGAATATCAGACAAAGAGAGAGAGAAGGTAGAAGAGGGTGAAATGAGATTAAAAGCATCAACGCATGGTTTGAATTAAAAATGAAAAGAAACTGACTGACGACCGACCGGCCAGCCTCCGCTGATCTATTTCAGATAAATTCTTTTCTTTTTTTATTCTCAAATAACCTTTCAACCTTGAGAGAGGTTCAGCTGCAAAGTGCAGATGAAGGTGGATGAAGTGAGTTCAGTTGGATTCTTGATTCTTTTAAAAATACATGGAAAAATGAAAAAAATGCTTCAAAAAGTACTATTGTACTTAGCATACGTCAATTAGTGTGTGAAAGAAGAAGCTGAGGAGGAAGAAGAAGAAGAAGAAGAAGAAGCTCACAAGAGCAATAGGTAGGTTGAAAGTACAAACCGTCTCTTTCTCGCAACTGTTGGTTGTAGGTGATGATGAGGTTGCTGATGTTGTTGTTGTTGATGCAATTGGCTTTCGGATTATATCGTCTTTTGCTTTCTCTGGTAACTTCTCTGTGGATATTTGATTGTAAAGCCTTAATTTTTCTGAAAAATAGTAAAGATTAAGATGTTTGGAAGGGAAAGGGAAAGGGAAGACGAAGAAGCAGAGAAGAGGAAGATCTAGCAAGAGAGAGAGAGAGCATGCTTTATCGTCTTTGCTAACTTAAGGAGAAATGAAAACTTGAGAATGCAACTGATCCCTCTAGTTATATAAGAACATGAATTTCAATATAACATTGCATATGGTTAACACAATGGCATATAGCATAATCACGTGACCATATAATTAGCATAAATCAATATATTTTGAATAATTTTTTTTATTACCTGTTTGAGGCCGTTTAACAGCTATTCCGGCTGACATGGTGTGTGTTGATACTGAAAAATGAAAAAAAAAGTACAAAATCACGAATATTCAGAAGATAATCTGAGCTATTGGTCTTAAACAGAAAATATTTTGAATATTCAGAATATTAGAAAAGAATAAAAAGTGTGAGAGGGATATACAGAGAGAGAGGGAGAGAGAAACACAAAGAGAGAGAGAAGATGGAGAGAATAAAGAGGGAAGAAAATGAGGAAACAGAGGGTGGAAGAAGAGGAAATGGAAGGTATAACAAGGAAGAACAGACGAACGCACAACAATGAGAGTATAGAATGCCCAAAGATCTATAGAGAGAGAGAGAGAGAGTAAGGGGTGTAAACGTGAGAGGGTAACTGGAGTACTAGAATGAATGAGGAGATGAAGAGGTTAAGAGAACTCTTTCAGAAGGTAAGGGTAAAAGAGAGATAAAGAGAGAGACAAGGATAGAGAGAGAGAGAGGTGGAAAGTTGGTTTTTGGCGAATATTTTTCATCGTTTTCAGAGGGAGAGAGAGAGAGCGTTTGGAAATCAAAAGAGGCCAAACTTTGAACGCAAAATATTTCATTTTTTTTGTTGTTGTTAAATATGGTCTTTTCAGCCTTGGACACAGTGGACTAAGTGTATAAACATCGCCCAAAATGCGCAATTTCGATGACTTTCTCCTTTAAAGAGAGAGGGGGGAGAAGAGAGAGAGAGAGAGAGATAGAGGGAGATGGTGGGTGGCTGGGTTGTGGTGGGGCGCGAAGGCAAGAAGGGAGAAGGAAGGGGTAAGCGAGACAAGGAGTGGAATGCAATGAAGGGAAAAAATCTTTTTTTTTTTCTCTTTTTGTTTCTCTTTGAAACAGAGCGAGAAAGATGAGGAAAAATGTTTTTGTGTCTTCTCCTTTGAAATGCTTCAAAAGACGAAATGAAAATCTTGTTTAAAATCTAAAAATTGGAAGAGAAAGCTTGATGAAGCTTGAAAAGGAAAAGCTTCCAAGTATACAACCTTAGATTCTTTTCTGTTCTGCTTCTCTCTTACTCTCCTCAAAATTTTAGAACAGAAGCACTTCTTCAATATAAAGGGAAAGAGAGAGAGAGAGAGTGGTTAGTGAGGGTAGGGGGGGGATAGAAGTAGAAGGAGAGGAGGCGAAGAGAGAGAGAGAGGATGACGCGATGCGGTTGCGAAGCGGCATTTCTGCCTTTTTCACATATTTGGCAGTGGAAAATGATAAAAAACAAAGAGTTTAAATTAATTTTTTATTCTATCGATAGTGAATATATTGATTGCAGATGAACTTTCATTCATAGCCGGAGGCTATACTGTTTTGTTTTTTTGGTATAGAGAGTGAGTGAGACAGAGAGAGGGAGAGAAGGAGAAGGAGAGGGAGATGGTCTTCTATCATATAGCTTGAATAAGAAGTAACGATGAAGCAGAGATAGAGACAAAGAAGGGCTTGTGTTGATGTTGATGAAGATGAAGATGATGATGATGATGATGTTGATGATGAAAATGAGACAATCATCTGTCCAAATGAAGATGTGATATGAAATATGAGAGAAATTCTATATTTTTCATTTTTTTTATTGTTTAAAGTAAAAATGGCTGGACACTGATGGAAGATAGTAAACTAGATAGAGAGAGAGAGAGGGAGAAAGGAAGGAAGAGAGAGTTAGGGAAAGAGTATAAGTAAGAGGAATGAGGAAGATAGAGAGAATAGAGAGAGAAGGGAATAGTTAACTGGACTGAGAAAACACTTTCTCCTTCAGTTCTGGCTCTCATAAAGCTTCTGCTATTTCATCAGATCCTTGACTTTCAAATCGAATTTCATGTTCTTGTCGTTCTCCATTCCTCTTTCTCTCTCTATCTATCATCTATCTATCTATCTTACTCTCTATTTCTATCTAACTCTCTCTCTATATCTCTATGCGTCTGTCCCTCTAAATCTTACCCTCTCTCTCTCTCTTACTGTCTCATAATATATGATTTAAAATCATGAGATAGAGATGAGCATTCTTGTGACCTATAACATGACATGTGGATATTAATTCCACTTTCAAGTCAATGAAAGCCTTCTTGGAGTCTAAGAGTCAAAGCGACGACCAAAACGAACAAAAAGCTCAAATATGTGTTATGTTATTTATAATTAATGTGAAAAGAAGATGGACATGTAGCCCGAAAGCAATGAAATGAGAGTGATAGAGAGAGAGAGAGAGAGGAACACACACAGAGAGAGGGAGAGTGAACTGAAAAATATTTTTTTTTATTGACAAGTCTTATTGACTTTCAAGCCATACATGAAGAGAGATGAAGTTCGATAGAAGCATGTGACGATGATGATGACATCATGTCAGACGACATCTCAAATCACATCCAACTATTATAACCATTCAAGTTATAAGCTTATAAACAAATGACTAAATGGAGTCTGAAAATCACAAGCGAAAGGATGAAGGAGAAAAAAAATTTTTTTTTCGAAATCACTTCGCCTTCACAACTGAGAATAACGAAAGATGCTTTACTGACTGGCGGAGACAATCAAATAAGGCAAAAAGGGCTCGAAAACCGGTTAGAATTTTCTTTTCATGTTCGCTATAGGAACATATAAATGTCTTTATTAACTATATACATATAGTTAACTTCTTTTATTACATCTTTTACTTACACAGTTTTTTTGTTAATTAACAGGGCCTCTTGTTGTAAGGTTGCTGCTGCTGCTGCTGCTGCTGTAGAAGGACGGATTTGATTTGTACACATCTTCTAACGCAACTAGTACTGACAGTCATGGAATAAACAACAAACACATTCACAGACTCATAAACACATAGAGACATCATTCTTCGATCAATCTTGCTTTGTTAAAACATCTTCCCACGCATTTCACGTGAATTTATTTGAGAACAACTAATCACGGGTGTTAGCGGTCGTTCATATCGCACATGATCACAACCTATTTCTGTCCTTGTGGTGTATGAGATTGGTAGTCATTACTTACTTACTTACATACGTAGATTTATCATCTTTAAAAGTACATCAATGAAACACAAAAGGAGGGGGGAGATAGCTAACTCAGCTGTACACAACGAAAGCAATCTAACAACCTTATTCCGCTCAACACAACCAGAGGTATGCACATGACCAGGAAATGGATGTTTATTCTCTTCTCTTTGTAGAGAGATGAGAGAATTCATGTTCATCGTTTTTGTAGCTTCAGAACATTCATATGGCAAACGAATTCAAATAACCGGAAACACATACATGTTGGGGAAACCGGTGAATCTTATCCTCTACAAACGACTTACACCTTACACTTGTGTGTTCACGCTGCTCTGTAAAACCAGTACAGACTATGTGTTTGATCTCTGTTTTGTAAATTTTTAATTAGAATAATTCTCTATTCAAACTTTGGTTTCTGTTATTTTTAATTATTAAATCATATTCTTCATAATGTCCTGTTGATTAACACTATGTCACTTAACTATGCATGCAATGCTATAACTTCAAGATCATGTTTGTTCCATGTTCTCACTACCGTTCACCTACGATCTCTTTCGTCTATTTTTCACTTCATGTTCTTCTCCGATGAGATACGGTGAAGTTAATAAACCGTTCTGGAGAGAACTTAGATTATTTGAAATCGTACTACACAGAATCCTTTCTGTAGTTTGTATTTCACATTATCTCCTTAAAAGCAACACAAGTTGACTGCGGTGAAAGGGATA